GACGGACGAGGTCGGCTTCGTGGAGCTGCGCTGTGCTCGAGCTGTCTTCGTTTATCGGATGAACGATAAGTTGATTGCTATGTTGATCTTGCACGTCGATGACGGCATGCTGTTTGGAGACCCGCACGATCCCCAGTACCGGGAGGTGAAGGCGAACATCAACAGTCGTTTCAACATCAAGCACTGGAAGGAGGGCAACGACAAGGAGGCAGTCGCCTATCTCGGTGAGGAGTGGCGGCGCCACCCCGATCACATCGAGATCAGCATGCACGAGTACATCGGCAAGCTGGCGAAGCACCCCCTTGCAAGGGGTGACGACGAGGAGCGGGAGATGACTCCCGAGGAGCACCACGACTTCCGGAGCTTGCTCCAGAAGGTGCGGTGGCCTGTCGCACGCGTGGTGCCACAGCTCGCGTATAGTGTCTCGGCGCTCGCACTGAAGGATCCGAAAGGTCGGAGGTTACTGCACCTGCGAGTGCTCAATGACATCATCGACCGGCTTCAGGACTACGACAAGAGAGGTCTTGCGACTCTCCGGATCCGCCGTGTGGACATCGAGCACTTGCAGGTGCTCACGCTTATGGACGCTTCGTTTGCGAGGGAACCCGGCTGTAAGACCCAGATGGGGTTCATGAGTATGATTACGGGTACCCGAGTGTTGAAGGAGCTAACTGTATGCTGTCTAGTGGAGTTTCAGAGCAGTACTATTACACGAGTTGTTGGATCTACGATGGCCGCAGAGTCTGCGGCTATGTCCGTGGCTTTGGATCGGCAGCTTTACCTCAGGCTGCTGATTGAGGCAATCTTGTACGGGGAGCCGCCCTTGCAAGGGGACTGGAGGCTGGCGCTGAAGGTTCCAGGGGCGCTCGTGACGGATGCGAAGTCGCTCTACGATCACACGTCCAAGATCGGCTCGATGCCGGTGTCTCGGCAGACCCTCATTGACTTGTTGGTGGCCAAGGATTTGATAGAGCAGGAGGCCATCAAGTTCAAGTGGCTGCCTAATAGCCACATGCTAGCGGACGTGCTGACAAAGGCCGTGCAGCCTAACGAGGTGCTATCGGAGTTCCTCCGCCACGGATTGTTCATAATGGTGCCTACTGCTGAGCAAGAGGATGAGGAGGCACACCGTCTGCGGCTGCGCCGCGGACAGCGTGAGAGAGCCAAGGAGCGGAAGGCCCTGCGTCGGGTCGCCGTTCCAGGGCCTGCGAGCCCGTGAGGTCCTGATTGCGGCTGCTGATGGACCTAGTGAGGGCTACGGTGATGTATGCATATCCTTTGAGTTGATAGTCTGGAATAGTGGATCCAGACATTCATATTCTTGTATTTATATGTTGAGCCTCAGGCCGCACTTTGCTTGAGGTGTTTCATGCATATCCTTTGAGTTGACAGTCTGGATTCGTGAATCTAGACATTCATATTTTATATTTATATCTTGAGCCTCAGGCCGCATTTGCTTGAGGTGTTTCGGCCTGTGGGTTGATATACATTATAATTGCGTGCAGCGTTTCCCTTTCGAAGGGAGCGGCATCGGGGCAGCATTGTACTCACCCAGTGTGAAGAGTGCACTCCCCTGCCCCTCTGCCGCCCATGTCACCGTGTGTGCATGATATGCACGCTTGTCTTGTTTTGTGGCATGCACGCTGCCCGCCGCTGTTTTGGCCCTAGTCCTAGGGCCCTGGGACGCACCCGCAGTTTTGACTGCCGCGCAGTCCGAGCTAAAAGAACTGCACTGACATTGGGGGCCCCTTGGGGCCGTCTTGGAGCGTCGGAACGCTGAAAAAGCGAGAACGCCATAATCCTTCAACAACCTAATTAAGGCAAATCAATGATTTTTGCCTCTGGGAGCCCTCTTGGGAGGCCTCCTCGAGGCCTCTTGGGGATTATTGGCGGCTTCGTGGGCCGTCTTGGAGTCAGCTTTGGCGTCTTGGGGCGATCTTCGGGCTTCTCGGAGCCCTCTTGGGCCGTCTTGGAGGCCTCCTGGAATCTCGTGGGCCTATCTTGTGGCCTTCTCGGGCCCGAACAAATCATGCGACAAGCTGCAGGGAACCTAGGGGGTGCCCGACAAGCCCTGGTAGATCTTGCAATTTCGGCTCCAGGCCACTTGGACTCCCCAGGACTGAGGACTGAGGCCTCAAGTATTAGGCAACGGACCTGAGGACACGCCCACTCCATGCCCATAGGCACGGTGGCGGATATGAATGGCCGGTTGGGTCATGGGGCCCTCGCCCACAACGCCGTGGTCTCTTTTTCCGGGCCCGCGTCCTCTCACGCTACTTCGCTCCTCTCCTCCCTCCTGTTGCCCACATCTTCGACGGCGCACTTCGAGGGAAACCGCGGGCATCAGGCTTGCTTAGCGCTGTCGCGTGCGGTGGCAATTTGCAGTGGCAATGCGAATCCTTTCGCTGCGCTGGTTGAGGCGTGATCATACATGATGGGGCTGTGTTCCATGGACAAAATGTTTTGTTCCTTGGCAGGGGTTACTGTGGGCGGTGGCATTGGTCCTGGTCGGTCGCTGGTCGAGTGGGGGAAGGAGTGTTGTTTAGTAATGGGCATTGCCAATAAACCCCCTCCCCGAAGGGGAGGAAGGGATGTGTAAGAATTGACTCCCTATACTGCGGACGCCCAGAGGGCTGATGGGATAAGCATGCAGTGAGACATGGGGGCAACGAATGTGAACTCAGAGATCTCGGGGAGTTTTTCGGGGCTCTCTGGGTACTCTCGATGGTGGGAGTGTAGGTAGAGGGTGTGTGGGTGGAGGGGGGGAGGGGAGGTGGAGAGGGGGAGGGGAGGTGGAGGGGTGTGGAGGGGTGTGGAGGGGGTGTGGTGTGGGGAAGGGAGTTGGATTGGGGGATGGAGGGTTTACGACTGGCGTTCGGGGCTGTCCAGACCCAGCGAGAGGGGGGTAGGGGGAGCGGTTAAGACACCTCTCCCAGGGCGCAAACTGTTTGGCTCACTCCCATCCGCCATCCCAAAACAAAAGTAGTACCCGAGTCAGCATATTCAGCAGTCGTCTGTGGTTGGGCAGCTACTGGGAACCAGTACAGGTCCCAGGTGCCCGACGCTGAGGCGAGGTGCACCACGGGTGCCAGGCGCGCCACACGCACCAGGCACCCCAGGCGCCCCTGGGGCCAAAGCGTGCCATACACGCCTTATGCGCCAGGTGAGCCGGGTGCTCCGCGTGCGCCACCTGTGCCAGCCGCGCCAGGTGCGCACGTTCGGGGCACGCGCAGCGTGTGCCAGGCGCGCCCGCGCAGATCGGGAGACATGTCGGCCCCCACCATCCTTGTCGAAAGCCAATGCGCAATCGCGTCGGAGTAGCTATCATGATGTCTGGTGGGTTTGCGCACAGCAGGCAATATGGCAGCACCCCCGCAGTCCCTGTCAACAACCAATGCGAATTGACCGCGGGATGCCCGCGCAGCATCCAGATTTAGCCTCGAAGTGTTCTTTGTCCTGTTAACAGGAGTCTGTGGCCCTGCTCAAAGCAGTACCATACACTGGCGCGCCCGCCGTTCCTGTCCAACGACGATACAAAGTTCTCGCAGTGTCCTGCTTTCCTCTTCCCGCTCATTCCCTTCTTCCTCTTTCCTTTTCCTGTCTGCAGAAAACTTGGCATCGCTCGGACGTGTGCATTTTTCCTTCGGCGAGGACCATCGAGGAGCATCTTTGATCATGTGGCGAAAAAGCCACGCACGAAACCCCAAAAAGCACAGGGAAATATGACGTCCGAGCGATGGCGAGTTTCCTGTCTGCAGCAAAGCTCAGTCCGTGCGCCACACCGTGTGGCTGAGGAGCGTGGACGTGGCGAGCCTCGCCTTCGCCCGCCCTGCCCGCCCTGCCGGCACGGCTTGTGGAGTTTTTGTGTTGCTTACCTTTGTCATGCGTGCCCGGCTGTGCTTGTACAGCTCGTGTCTATCGGGGGCGGCAAAGAGGGGGGTGATGACTAGGGGGGGGGGTGGATATCATGGCGTGGGCCATGATATTTCCCCAGATTTCATGGCGCCTCTTCTTATTTCATTACGTCCCTGCCCCCCCCGCTGGGCCGCGCACATGCCGCCGGTCATGATTTGCACCCCCCCTCTTGGACCCCCCCCTCTTGGCCGCTCCCGAGTCTAGTGCCAGCCGCCGCTCGGCCGCATTAGGCATCTCGCTTCGTTCTCCCTCCCTCCCTCCCTGGCGATCTCTCCTCCTCGCTCGTTTCTTTCGTCGCATGCAGCGCGCTCGCTCATCCTTCAGGCCACGGTTCAATGAATGTGCTTGCCTATCGCAGGTCAGCTCTCGTGGTGTTCCCGGTTTGCCTTGCGACCTTTAGACTCGCACAGCGGTCGAGGTCGAGTCGGGAGCACCTCTGTGGACGCGATCCCTCTTCCTTCTCAAAAAACAAATCATTCAGGTTTTTGTTCGACGCCCGTGGTGCGCACACCAAAAAAAAACAGTACACAGTTCTCGCGGCCGCGACCTCCCCGGCCATGACCCTACGTTTTGCTGCAACATGCGCTTCGTATTGTTTTGTGTTAGGGGTGGCGGGGGGGGCTCATTTGCGTTGGTTTGTCGCCTGTCGGATGGGTGAGGGGGTGTATATCAATGAGTCAATAAGAAGCAGTGATGAATCTTTCCCCGAGAGGGGAAGTAAGGGGGGTTGAAGCACTGACTCCCTAAGCCACCTACGCCCAGAGGGCCAGTGGGATTCATTGGAAAAAAGGGACGCGGGAGGGAGTGGGAGGGGCTCCTCCTTCACGGGAGCTCCGTTTGCTTGCGCCGGGCCGCGCTGATTTTTTGCTGGTCGCCTAGTCATCCGCCTGGTCATCCGTCGGGCTCCGCAGGCTCCAGAGTCAAACAACCATCTCCCGCGTTTTCATTTCGCTTCTCCTGTCCCCCCTCCTCTTCTTCCTCCTCCCCTTCTCATTTTCACACACGGTCTGGGTCCGTAGCTAAGTTCTGCTCCGCGCCCGTTTTTTGCAGCCCTCGGCTCCCAAGGGGCCTCCTTGGAAGCGGCCATGGTGGATGTGCTGAAGCAGATGCAGCGCTCGGATCCTGTGGCCAAGGAGCAGTGGCACGCCTACGTCGAGGCCTACGGCGAGAACATACGCGACCCGGCGAAACACGACATATCGTTCATCCAGAGCTTCGTTACGCAGTATCAGGCCGGCGCGCGGCTCGAGTCGACCGCGGGCAAGGAGCTGGTGGAGTACATCAAGCAGGGCAAGAGGAAGTCCCCGGCCTGGAAGCAGCTCTGGGAGATTCATCAGATTGACGCCGCAACCGCCGATCTTGGCCCTTGTAGACGTTGATTTATGGGAAGGGACATGGACGGAGAACAGGAGGAACACGAGGAGGAGAGTAAGAATGAAACGGGCCATAGGGAGGGGAAGAGGAAGGGGGAGGGAAGACTGCACTAACTGTTGGGGCGTCTGTTTGCCCTTTTAGGGCACCCTTGCGCTCGGTGCGGTCTCTCACGGAGTCTTCCTGGGGCATCTTGGGCCGCTTCTTGAGGAGGCTCTCCAGGGCCGCCTTGGGATCCTTTCTGGGTGTCCTCTCGGAACCTCTTGGCGCCAAGGGGGGGAGCTGGCCCCGCCCTGCAGAGTCCGTGCCCCCTAATCAAGCATGTAATGTTAGGCCTGGTGAGGGCAGTATGAAGGGTTTTTTTGCAATCCTTCGTTCTGGTGAGGGCAGTATGAAGTATGAAGGTTTTTTTGCAATCCTTCGTTCAAAAAAGGGTTTTTTTGCAATCCTAGGTTTTTTTGCAATCCTTCGTTCAAGGGTGGGGTGGGCGAGTGGCACGCCCGACGAACCCAGAGGGATCCGCGAATGTACGCCAACACGAAAATGGTCGACGGCAAGCCGAAGCACGACCCGGCGCAGCACAGCGCCGATTTCCTGGAGGGCTTCTTCGACTTCGTCGGCAAAATGGCTGTGGGAGGCGGCGGGGGCATGGCCATGGGCGGCATGGGCGGCATGAGCGGCATGGGCGGGGGTGGCTACTCGGGCGGCATGGGCGGCATGGGCGGCATGGGCGGCATGGGCGGCATGGGCGGCATGGGCGGCATGGGCGGGGGCGGCTTCTCGAATAACCCTCTCAGCGGCATGGCCTCTGGCATGGGCCCCTCCGCTGGGAGCCCGACCGTGCAGAGGATCAAGGCCTACCAGAGGATGGGCCAAGCTCAGAAGGAGGCCTGGCACACGTACTGCGACAGCCTCGGCGGCCGCAACCGCGACCCCGCTCGGCACGACGAGGCCACGCTGGAAGCTTTCTGCTCGCAGTACGGGGTACCCTGAGAGCCTGCTGGGGCGATCTCGGTGTCGGGCGCATCGCGGGCTGGTCTCAGACCGCTCTGCAGCTTCCAGCGCCCGAGGGGGAGCGTTCACCCGCGCAAGTGGCTAGAGCTCGGCGGCGTTTGTGCTCTTGTCGTCGCGAATATTTTTACCGAAGCGGATCGAGGTTTCTATTCCAGTTCGACTTCTCCTCCTTTCTTCAGAGCGTGAATTCTTTACGCTTCGCGTATCCCCACCAGCCCATCTCACAGCAGCAACTCTTGCGAAGCATGCCGACAGTCGTGTTTTTCAGGCGTGTGTCCGCTTGGCCCCGCATATCTCCCCTGTTCCTCCTTCCTCCCGCCTCCTTGTACATCCTCCTTGTGGGGGGAGCGGGAGAAGGACGAGGCGGAGGAGGAGGGAGAGAAAGCGCTCCTCGTGATTTGAGTCGTTTGGGGTTTCTCGTCCTGGTGTGAGTCGTTCGGGCCCTTCTTCCTGGTGTGAGTCGTTCGGGCTCTTCGTGGTGTGAGTCGTTCGGGCTCTTCGTCCTGGTGTGAGTCGTTCGGGCTTCTCGTGGTGTGAGTTGTTCGGGCCCCTCATCCTGGTGTGAGTCGTTCGGGCCCCTCCTCCTGGTGTGACTCGTTCGGGCTCCTCGTGGTGTGAGTCGTTCGGGGCCCGCGTCGTGGTGTGAGTCGTTCGGGCTCCTCGTGGTGTGAGTCGTTCGGGCGCCTCGTCCTGGTGTGAGTCGTTCGGGCTCTTCGTGGTGTGAGTCGTTCGGGCCCCTCGTCCTGGTGTGAGTCGTTCGGGCTCCTCGTGGGGCCTCTTGGGGGCCTCTTGGGGGCCTCTTGGGGGCCTCTTGGGGCCTCTTGGGGCCTCTTGGGGGGGCCTCTTGGGGGCCTCTTGGCCTCTTGGGGCCTCTTGGGGGCCTCTTGGGGGGGGCCTCTTGGAGGCCTCTTGGGAGCCTCCTGGGGGCATCTTGGGGCCATCTTGGGGCCTCTTGCGACCTCCTCAGAAGCGCAAGTGAGCGCTACCCCTTGAGAAGGACAAAATGAGCCCAAAACCTTCGTAAAATCAATGATTTTGAGAACAAGGAAGAGGAGCGCTGCCCCCTCAGAAGGCCAAAATGGGGCCGAAACTGTAGTAAATCAATGATTCTGGCTTCACAGAAGAGGAGAGGGTTTTTTCGGCGTCCCCCCGTCGGGGGCAGAATCCTCGTGAGGGGTGTCGTTTTTTAGCCCTCCCAGGAGTCGAAATTGACCCCCCTGACGACCCGCCGGACCCCCTCTCCAGGTCCAGGGGGAGGGGGTAGGGGGAGGGGTAAACCCCTCTCCGAAGGGGAAGAAGGGGGGTTGAGAACAGAGAGAGCTCGCTAAACCACTCACGCCCAAAGGGCTGGTGGGATTACCTACCCCGCTTTCGCTTCCAGGAAAAACCAAGTCATACCACACGCCTCCTCGTCAAGCGGCCTGACCAGTACAGGCCGTAGTTTGGCATCGCTTGGTGTCTCTTGGAAGCGAGAGTGGTCCAAAGCGAGGTAGGTTTGTTTTCCCCCTATTTCTCGTATCCATTCGCTAGGAAGCGCGTCCTAGGGGCAATGGGTCCTAGAACCCTGGGCTCTGACCGAGGACCAATTCTTCATCCCAAGTAGTTCTGTTGATGGTCCTGGGCGCCGTTGACCACTTTCCTCTGGGACCCGTTTCCCTCATGCTATCTGTATCCTCTCTTGTTGTCCTTCCCTCAGGTTTCTCTTCCCTCCTCGCTAAGTCTTCTCATCAATGCTTACTCTCGTGCCTCTCCTCACTTTCCTCCTCGTTCCTCTCCCTCATCCCTCCTTCCTTGCTCCTCCTCTCTCCTCGCTCCGCCTACCTTCTCCCTCGCCACACCTCATCCACGCTCGCTCCCTTCCGCCTCCCTCTATCATCCCTCGCTTCAGGCAAGTGCAGCAGTAATCACAATAGGATGGTTCCACCACGCTCGGCGTATCGAAATCTGACGCCCACTTGAAACGTGCGTGCCTGGGTGGGGAAACAAAGACGCTGTCTCTATGATTAGGGGAACAAGAAGTGACATGAACATAAAAACTCGGAGGTCCGCGCGGATTTCTCGGATCGGCTCTGGGGCCCCCCGGGCCAGGGAGGGGGGTCCAGCGCCGATCTGAGAAATCCGCGCGGACCTCCGAGTTTTTATGTTTATGCCACTTTTTGTTACCCCAATGATGGCTACGCTTCGCACCACAAACTTAGCCTGCCCCTCTCTCCTCCTCCGTCCCCTCCCCTCCTCTCCTCGTCCCTGTGTCGTGTTGCAGTGAACCGAGCGCACCACTCTGCCGCTCCTTCGTGGCCATCTCCCTTCGGCGCCCGTGCAGGATCTCTGAGCCCGCTAACACTATGCGAGCTGCGTGCCGCTTGTCGCTGACAGGCTTCTTGCTTCACCGGCCCTGCGGAGGGCGACGTGGGAAGGAGGAGCGAGGATAAGGATGAGGAGGAGGGCAAGGCGGAGGAGCATGACGAGGAGGATGAGCATGAAGGGGAGGAGGAGGAGAAGGAGGAGGAGGAACAGGAGGAGGAACAGGAACAGGAACAGGAACAGGAACAGGAACAGGAACAGGAGGAGGCTGAGAAGGGGGGGGAGGGGGAGAAGGAGGAGGAGGAGGAGGAGGAGGAGGAGAAGGAGGAGTAACAGTGAGGGGGAGGAGGAGAAGGAGGAGGAGTGATGCGGGAGGAGGAGGATGAGGAGGAGTGATGCGGGAGGAGGAGGAGGACCAGAGCAAGCCCAAGATGCACCAACGATGCTGCAATACACCCTCCCGTCCCAAAGCCCCCCTCTCATAAGTCTCTACAAGCCTTGCTTCCCCCTTCAAGCACCTCCTTGGAAGACCAGCGCCCCATGGACCAGCCATTCATGCGAAGGCACAGTTTCGAGAAGGAACTAGCTGCCTTGCGTCCTTCCAATGAGTAAGATGGAGCGCGCGAAGGTACGATCATGCAGTTCACCGAGGTGCCGAGCGATATCCCCGGTTTGAAGCGGACCGCCCCATCTGTGGAGCCCCTGCACAGGACATCACCCCTGGCCATGCGCGTCGAGGATGCCTCACGCGAGAACCCCGACTTGTTTCGGAAAGGAGTCGCTCGCCATACGTGCAGCACTATCATATGTTCAAGTTTCTTGCCTTGGACTCTCTAGAAGTCTCAGCCGAAAGTTTGTTTGTTGTTTAGAAAGGAGCCGCCCTTTATCCGCGCAGCTGTTGCACCTGCTCAAGATCCTGGTCTCAAGCCTTGCAATCAGGGAACGCCCACGGTTGAAAAGCCGCCGCCCACGAGTTTACGACGACTGTGCGCGGCGCTGAGGAGAGGACCCGATGATGGAAAGGAACCGCCCTCCACCATTGATTTTGTTTCAAACGTGTAAGACGAATGTGCGCGGCGCAAGGGCGGGAGCCCTAAGACGAATGTGCACGGCGTTGAGGCGACAGCCACACGTTGAAACATACACTCTCCAACCGTTGAAGCTGTTGCAGACCTTTGAAGACGAATGTGCGCGACGTGAGGGGTGTTTGTAAGGAAAGGGGATGAGGGAGGACGAAGAGGATGAGGAGAAGGAGGAGGAGGAGGAGGAGGAGGAGAAGGAGGGGGAGGAGGAGGAGAAACTGTGAGGAGTGAGGAGCGAAGGGGTGATGGGCGAGGAGGGGGGAGCGAGGAGTGAGGAGTGCGGCGTGAGGGGTGAGGAGGATGATGGGGTGATGGGCGAGGGGCGAGGAGCGAGGGGTGATGGGCGAGGAGCGAGGAGTGAGGAGTGCGGCGTGAGGGGTGAGGAGGAGTGAGGGGTGATGGGCGAGGGGTGCGGAGTGAGGAGCGAGGGGCGAGAAGGACGAGGAGGATGCCTGTTGCCCCCCCCCCCCCTCCCCCGAGGAGGCCGCCCGCGCCGTGGAGGAGCTGCGGCGGGAGGCGCAGGGCGCGGAGGGCCTCGAGGTTGAGGTGCATAGGGGCGTCGTCTGCGACGGCTGCGAGGCACCTGCTGCGCACGGCGTGGCACGGAGGAGGAGGAGGATGATGATGATGAGGAGGAGGAGGAGGAGGAGGAGGAGGAGGAGGAGGAGGAGGAGGAGGAGGAAGAGGAGGAGCCCGGGGAGGAGGAGGAGGAGGAGGAGGAGGAGGAAGACGCGGATTAGGAGGTAATTCCCGACGCCTCTGTACTTTTGGGGTACCCGTTTTGAATACGCAGCGCCGCGCGTCTCCATCGCTCTCCCGCCCCCTCCTTTCTCCTCCTCGGTGACGGCAACGGCGCCGAGGGAGGGACGAAGGTGCGTTGTCAGCCATGGAGGTGGGCCTGGGGCGGTTGTGGCTCTGTCGGCCGCCGCTTGTTCCGATGCACGTCTCTTCTTCGGCCTCTTTGTCACGCAGAGTATTTCGAGATACATCTCTCCTTCGCGCGCTTTGTTTACAACAGCGCCATGCCTGGATTTCTCTCAGCGTCTTGCGGCCTCGGTCGATCGTCTTGGCACGGATCATCTGGGCGTGTGGCTCGCCTCTCCTGGTGTGTGCGCGTGCGTTGTTCGTTCCTCACCTCTTTCCTCGTGATCTTTTCCTCTCCCTTCTGGCTTTTCACACACATTTCGTCACTTCTTTCCTCTCCAGCCGCAGCTCGTCGCAGGAGCTTGCCCGTGGCCGGTCGGCGCTCGCGTGGCCTTCCTGTGGTTGACTGGTGATCGTCTGTTTCACGCTACTGCGCAAGTCACGCCGTGGTGAGGTTCAGCGGTCGCGCGTTCCTCTTCTCCTCTCCCTCCAGAAACTTGGCATCGCTCGGACGTGTGCTTTTTTTCTCGGCGAGAACCATCGAGGACCATCCTAGACCATCGAGCACAAAAAAAAACGCACGAAACCGAAACATGCACGGGAAATGGACGTCCGAGCGACGTCTGCTGCCTCCTCTGGGGGGCCCTCGCCGCCACGGCGGGATGCGCCCTGCAGTTCTGGTCCGCACGCGCTCTGGGAGAGGTCCGGGGGATCGACTTTGAGAGAGGGATGGCGAGGGAGCTGGCAGCAGGAGGGGCAGAACGCAAGAAAAGGAGGAGGAGGAGGAGGAGGAGGAGGAGGAGGAGGAGGAGGAGGAGGAGGGGGAGGAGGAGGAGGAGGAGGAGGAGGAGGAGGAGGAGGAGGAGGGGGAGGGGGAGGGGGAGGGGGAGGAGGAGGAGGAGGAGGCGACAGGTGGGAGGTGGCAGATGGGAGGAGTGACGAGGGGGAGGGCCCAGGCGCCAGTGGCGGGGCCCGCGTCGCCAATGGCACATCCCCAGGCTCGTCGACCCCCGCCGCCAGCGCCAGCAGCAGTGGCGGCAGCGGCAGCTCAACAGTAGCAGCACAAGCTGTAGCAGCAGCGCCCGTGCCAAAAACCATCACTCGTCGCCCCCTCCCTCGCCCGCGGAGTTCCTCGCTCGCCACCGTGCTCTACTCCCGCTCTCCCGCCTCCTTCCCCTCGTCCGCCATCGTCATTCCCACGCCGCCGTCCTGGGCCCAGCAGTGCGAGCCTTCCTCACGCTTTCGCGCGCTGTCGATTTCAGCGAGTCTTCCCTTCGCCACGGCACCGTGCTGCCTCGTTCTGGGTACCAGTCTGTTTGTGCCGCCTGTACTTTCAGACTCCCTCTGCCCAGCGACTGGTCGGGCATGGGCCCGAGCACGCAGCCGCCCAGGAAGAGTACAGGCCGCTGGAGGGAGCCAGCTGTGACGGACATGGGTGGATGCCCCTGCTTGATCCCTGCGCAGCGGGAGTGTGCGACCAAGTTTTGGTGCTTCCGGGCCACCTGGGCGAGCACCATTGCCGCTACCAGGAGCAACGGCGACAACCGTGGCGGAGTCGCACGGCAGGACCAGCTGTACGCCATCCGCGTACGCCTGCTCCCGGAGCTGCTGCAGCCTAGACCGTCCGGCCTGGCCTCCTCGTGGGTGCTGCAAATCCCGGGCAGCTGTCCAGTGCGGCTCGTGGTCTCAGGCCTTGGTGGCTGCAGGAGCGACCTCGAGCGGCACCGCTCGAGGGCGGGGGGCAGGGGGTGGGCGCCGGCGCAGGGACGGTCGCCGCCCGCCCTGCATCCCCGATGTCGCAAGTTCGCCCGAGGTGGCTGCCTGCCTGCCTGCTCGATCGTGCGATTGTCGCGACGCCAGGCGGGCCAGCACCTGCATGTACAGTCGGGGCCCTGAAGAAGGAACGTTTTTCGTTGGGGAGGGGCTCGGTGTCCCTTGATTGTTTTACAGGTTGCCTCGGGTTTCCCTTGGGGTTCCCATGGGACATCGAAGTTTCACTTATGGAAAAGAGGGGCCTCGTTCCTTGTTTAGGGTTCCTTAGGTCAACGCCCCGACTGTATATATATATATATATATATATATATATGTATGGTTCAGTGTAAGCCAATCGTGCAGAAGGCTTCAGCCGAAATCAATCGTCACTGTGATATCGTGTGTGTTTGGTTGGGCTTTGGGCGCGACGTGCGAACAGCAGGCTCACGATTTCCGGGAGCACTTAAACGACCCGGTCACTGATCAGATGTGATGGACGTGCTGCAAGCGTCTTTGCCCAAATCGAGGGCTACACAGGAAGAGCTTTAAAGCTGGTGTCGCAGCGGTGGATAGGAATTGGGACGGGTGCACAAGGAAATTACAAGCGAGCGCATTGGCGTGAGTTAGTGGTTTGGTAGAGTGTTGGCTGGCAGCAGTGGTCCGTAACATAATTTCAAACACACATGCACTGATGTATATATCTTCCCAATCATACATACATACACATGTACACGTACATGTGTTCAGATGTGCATCATTGGGTGATTCTGGCAGTGGGGGCAATGGTGTGTCGAAAGCGTCGGGGGGCAGGTTTAACAACCGACTGCTCTCCGAGAAGGGACAGTTACGATGCTGGCGTACACAAAATCGTGCAGGCCTGATCAGGGCCCATCGGCATTGCAGCTCGGCATTCGCATTGTCAGAGCCTTGATTTCAGAAGTTTGTAATCGAGTTGGGGCATTCGTTCTTGCTCTGGCTGCAGGGTTCATTGCCTTCTTGACTTGAGGATAGCTCTGCTTCCCTGAGTGGTTAAAGGAGTTCTCTACGGGCTTCATCATTGGTTGAAGAGGTACATGCAATTTCCATGTATACTCGGCCTCGATTCCTGGCGCTCCGCGTATCCCCACCAGCGCCCGGACCTCTCAGCTCTGGCGCGCGCTTCAAGTGCACCACTCTTGGAACGCTCTGTTGGGTCCTCTGCGTGGCGGGCACCTTCCCCCCTTCAGGCACTCTTGCAATACGCTGTTGGGTCCTCCAGACCACGAGCACGACCACGACGTCGACCCTGACGGCGACCACAAACGACAGACGACCTTATTCCGACCAGTCGCACTTACGACTCCCCCCTCCAACAGTGCCAACAGGCCAGAGGATCGGAACGGAATGTCACAGCGGAAGCGGCGGAGGCTGCGGAAGCCGCGGAGCATCCCCCTCTGGACAGTCTGTCCGTCAACAGTCCTCTGGCTGAGCCATACTCACAGCAGGGAGATCACTGTGCGTTGCCCCTCTACCTTTTCCACACTTCCACCATGGTGGCCGCGGTCCGGTGGGGTCGTTCCTCCCCGCCGGGCGGGCACCTTCCCCCCTTCAAGTGCACCACTCTTGCAACGCTCTGTTGGGTCCTCTGCGTGGTGGGCACCTTCCCCCCATCAGGTGAACCACTCTTGCAACACGCTGCTGGGTCCTCTTGACGACGACGACGACCACGACCACTTGCACGACCACGATGTCGACCTTGACGGCAACGACAGACGACCACATTCCGACCAGTCACATTAACGACTCCCCCCTCCAACAGTGACAACAGGCCAGAGGAAGGTGCGGGAAGTCACGGCGGAAACGATGGGGGCTGCGGAATCCGCGGAGCATCCCCCTCTGGGCAATCCGTCCGTCAGCAGTCCTCTGACTGAGCCGCACTCACAGCAGGGATACCACGGGACAGCCACCCAGACACAGGACAACGTAGCCCTTCGCCGGCCCCTACTCAGGCCCATACGGGAGAACAGCCACTGATGACGCTGCAGTCCTGCACGAGTGGTACATCCTTTGGCAGGCTCCTCCTTCCCACGGCGGGCCCGGCCTACTGCTGTGCAGGTTGTCCCCCCAGCTCCCGCGACGGAGTACGCTCACCCGTGGCCGCGGCTTGGTGCGCACACGCGCGCCTACCCGCTTCCACCACCACCTGCGGGTGGGCCCAGGTAAGGCACACTCCTGCACAAGTGGTTCATCCTTTGGCAGGCTCAGCCTTTCCCCGACGGGCCCGTCCCGCTGCACGACGCCGACGACCTTCCCCCCAGACACGCCCCTGGCAACGCTCTGTTGGGTCCTCGGCAGTCTGTGTCGCCTGGCCCACCTGCGCCTCTCCTTCCTCCAGTATTCACTTGATTTGCGGCTATCGGCTGCGCCTCCCCTCCCCTCCTCCACGCACGCTGAGGTGCTGAGCGCGCCAGTCGGCTTCCCCCCAACAGTGCCACGTCTTCGCGCACTCTCCGACGTGGTCACTCCTTCCACGCGGCAGGGTGCGCCCGATGGGGCACTGGCGGGCACCTTCCTCCCATCAGGTGAACCACTCTTGCAACACGCTGTTGGGTCCTCTTTGGTCACTGCCGCAGGATTACCATATGCCGAAAGGGCTGTATCCAAAAGGAGGCAGCACTTGCCCCCCGCAAGTGGTGACAGTTGGCCCTCCACTGACCGACGTGGGGAGACCAATCCCAGAGGACCCAGGCTCCAGGCGGACGCACACCACTGGTCGCTCCCCCTCCTCCATCCATTCACCCGATCTTGCGGCTATCGGCTGCGGCTCCTCCCCTCCTCCTCCTCCCACGGCGCAGGGCACTCCGACACCTTCCCCAGCAGTGGGAACAGTGCCCTAGGACGTGACGGCGGAACGAGGGTGGCTGGAACACCAGACGCAGATCGTGCTGCATCCAGAGAGGAAGGCGGCACTTTCCCCCAGCCTGTGGTGTAAAACCCAACGCAGGCACATACAGAAGGATCATCCGGCTTACTTGCGACATTGCCCCCTTCCATTGGACGGACTTGTTGCCTGCGTAAGCCAACCACGCCTTCTCCTTTCCCGCAACTGGTTATGGCCACCTGAGGTGCTGGCTGGAAGGCCTGAGGGAGATGGTTCCTTGTACAAGTGGTTCATCCTTTGGCAGGACTTCCCCCCACACGGCCAGTCTTCGAGCACATGAGGTGCTCTGTGAGTGAGGCTTCCTTTGCCCCTCCTGTCTCCCTCTGCCCTCTTTTCCGCGCCTGTCTTCGCTTCTGCTTCTTCTCTCCGCGTTCCCCACCGGTCTTTCGCAGGCCTGCGCCTCGGGAGCTGGCGCCACTGTGCGACCTTCCGCTGGCCTTCGTGTCTGCCGCCGTCATTGTTCGGCTTAGTGAGGTTCATTTTGTTCCTCGCATGTGCATTCCGGCGTTGGCTTTTGGCCCGCTGGCAATTATCTTGCTTGTCGCCCCAAGCTTGCTACGACCCGCTCTCTGGAATCGTCCTTGGAGCCGCAGATTAAAAAGTATCCCCACCAGCGCCCGGACCTCTCAGCTCGGCGACTGCGAATCCGCGTCCGCCCGCGACCAAAAAAAGTATCCCCACCAGCCCTTCCAGAAACGACCACAGGAGGAAGGAAAGGAACGGACGAGGGCAAGGAAAATGAGGAGGCTGCCGTTGCGGGCGTGTTGTTGTGAGAGGTTCTTGGAGGACCCTTGCGTCCATTTTGGGGCCCTCTTGGGGTCTCATGTGGGACCTCTTGGAGCAGGGGGCCTCTTGGAGCTCTTTTTTTTCTGGGGTCTCGCGGCCCTCTTGGGGCTCTTCGGGGCGTGGGCCTCTTGGGGAGTGCCTTGGAAGGACCTGACGGCTTTTGGAACCGTTTTGGGGCGGTCTGTTGGCCTTTTGGGGATATGCCTGAGGCTATCGTAAGGCACCTTGAAGTAGCATGGGCCATCTGGGAGACATTATTGCAGCATCTGGGGCCCTCTTGTAGCCATCCTGGGCAACCTTGGACGTTCTGACTTCTCGCCCCCCCCTTTTCCAGGCCCAGGGGGAGGGGGTAGAGGGAGGGGTCAATCCCTCCCCCGAGCAGGGTAAGGAGAGGTTCTGGAAGAGGGAGAGGAAACTCGTTTTATAACCTCCGCCCAGAAGGCTGGTGCGATTCCGCGTTGAGAGCGATTCGTTTCTCAGCCTCAATGTTCTTCAACCTCATCGCTGTCACTCAGGTCTTTTGTTGAGTTGTGTGCGTGTCGTTCCTGCTGGCTTCTCTCTATTGTGCTGTAGTCTTTCTGAGCCACCGACGCAGCTTCCCCCCCATGCGCGCAACGACATGTGATGCGTCGGGCGCACGAGGGAGGCCAGTCGTGCGGGGTCAAGATGACTGTCTGGAGTCTCCACCTCTCCCAGCAGGTTGCCCCGATCATGGGCAAGCGCTATCGGAGCCTCACGAAGGACGACTACGACTTGTGCGAGGCCTGCTTCAGCAAAACAGACGAGGACCGAAGCTTCTCTTCACGATGGGGGCCTCCAAAAGCGCTTCAGCCCGTGGCCACGCCATCACCCATCGTGTCCAGACATTACGAAGACGTGCTGGTACCACCCCAACGTTCATTAAGGCGTTGATGAAGCCTGGGATGCGGGTAAAATGCCCAACTCCCTTGGCGCCTTCATGAGAAGTGTGCATAACATACGCCCGCGCATCAAAACAGGGCAGACCGGTTGTAATGATCACCGTCCATACCATTCCCGTCTGGTCTTCTGGTGGGAAGATATGAAGTAGGGCGCTCACAGGGACGGCGGTCGCCAGCAGTCGGGCTCGCATAGCAGATATATTGCCCGGCTTCTCCAGTAGGGCACCGAGAAAGGAGGGAATGGGAAAGACAAGGAATTGGAGGAGGAGGAGGAGGAGGAGGAGGAGGAGGCAGAGTAACATGTATGACGAAGAGGACGATTATGTAGGTTGTGGTGGTGACCACCAGCCGGTATATGCAAAGTTGGAGGAGGAGGAGAAGGGGAACCCATGCAAGGACACATGCAACCTAGTAGAGTGCTGGCCATTACATTTGCCGCACTGTGGTGTGTTTCCATACGAGCAGGATGCCACACACGCTGGTTTTGAATATCTTCCTGAAGCCTCCCATGTGGCCCATGGCCCCGTGCATCTCTACTGCTGGGGGCTTCGGAACGTGCACGGGATCAGAAAGGTGCCTTTTCACATGCTCGTGGGTAGTTCGATACGTTTTGCAAATGTGTGTTGCATAAGACCATGGTGACGCACTGTCGTTCTTCCCACCAGGCCCGCCACCCGGCAGCCATACGCCATGATAAAGGCACCACGCATTTTCGGAATTAGTGAATTCTGACTCTGCTTTGTATTATCGCTAGTCTGTTCATACCTTCACTGGGCTACGATGGCACGCCTATCCAACCGAACGCAGCCCCCTCGGAGGCTCTGTGTAATTCAGTCGCTGCCGACTGGCCTCTATCGGTTTGTTTTCCATCAGCGGGCTCGTCGGGTGTGAGCTCTGCCGATATCCTTTGATATCTCCACCCGTAGCTCCCTTGTCTGTCCCCTTCCACCTCATCGCCTGTCTGGCGCGTACAGGCGACGCAGCCCACAGCCCGCAGCTTCCCAGCTTCTGCTCGGCGCGATCGCGCGACGCATCGGACGCTCGTTTAGAAAAGCCCCCGCCCGCGTCTGAGGACAAGAACAGCTTCAAGCGCGTGAAGTCGGACGTGGTCGCTCAGGTGTGGAGACGGGTCAGCTGGGACTCCTCCATGCCTCCGAGTGGCCCCGAGGAGAGCACAAGGGTCGCAGGCGTAGGGGGCAGCATGGGACTGCAGGCGTAGGGGGGCATGGACTGCAGGGGTAGGGGGGCATGGGAGAGTGCTGAGCATGGGACTGCAGGCGTAGGGGGGCATGGACTGCAGCATGGGAGAGTGCTGAGCATGGGACTGCAGGCGTAGGGGGGCATGGACCGCTTGGCTTCCCGTCATATGTCCCCAGCCTCCTGGGGCAGGGGGCTTTTGGTGGTTGCGGTATCTCAGCGGCGTGCTAGGACCCCGGGTTCACCGTTGGGCGGAGGGGCCTCCTCACTTGCCCCTCCCTGCGGCCCCTGAGGGTCTGCCGGGTGCTCCGGAGAGTTCCAGGAGTCCCTCGAGGTCTCCAGAGGTCCCTGGAGGCCTCCAGACGCAGAAGCCACTTCCCCTCCTCATTCCTGGGCGAGGGAAGGGGTGAGGAGTGTGGAGTGTGGAGTGTGGAGTGTGGAGGAGGAGGAGGAGGAGGAGGAGGAGGAGGAGGAGGAGGAGGAGGAGGAGGAGGAGGAGGAGAGGAGGAGGAGGAGGATGAGGAGGAGGAGGAGGAGGAGGTGGAGGGGGAGGAGGAGGAGGAGGAGGGAGGAGGAGGAGGAGAGAGGAGGAGGAGGAGGAGGAGGAGGAGGAGGGAGGAGGAGGAGGAGGAGGAGGAGGAGGAGGAGGAGGAGAATGTCGAAAAGCCTCCGAAGGCCTCGGGGGCCCACACACAGCTATCTCACGGGGGTCGGCTCCTGCGGCCCGCCTCTCGGCATGCAGGAGGCCAGCCAGGGCGCAACAAAAAGGCCACGGCCTTGGTGCTCCTCCCTGGCTCCAGCCCGCCGGCGCGGGCATCCGCCCGGCCCCCCCGTCTCGTCGGGGGCAGGTCGCGAGGCTCGGCGCAACCGCGCGGAGGTTTCCCACGGATTGCTACAAAGGCTTTTTCTATGCTCCCGGTGCTCAGAGTGGTTTCCCAACGGCTGCGCCCCGTCGATGAGGAGGGGAAAAACACAAAGACACAATTAAGCGTCGATCCACAGGACAATATGGAAAAATGTGGGACGTAGGGGGGAAGACAAACACCCAGGAAATGCGGGACAATATGGGGAATCTTGTTGTTTGTGTGTGTGTGTGTGTGTTTATTTGTGTGTCCCAGGGCCCCTTGAGTCGAGAGCCTTGCCGGGAGGCCCAGGTGGCCCCGAAGGAGGCCACGCAGCCAGGGTCGCGGGAGGCTTCCTCCTCCTCCTCCTCCTCCTCCTCCTCCTCCTCCTCCTCCTCCTAGCTCCTCCTCCTCCTCCTCCTGGGAGGCCCGGGGTCGCCCCGAAGAGGATCCGCCCGAGGCCCGAGCCGACGGGCCGCGAGCCGAGCGCGCCCAGGGGCAACGGGGCGCGCACGCAGCAGCCGGGGGTCTCGGCGCCCGCGGCCGCGGGGGGGGCCCGCCGATCGCCCCTCGGGCCCCCGCTGGCGGACCCGGCTTTGGGACTCCCGCGGGGCCGCATGCGGGCCCTGCCCCTACCCCCCACGATTTCTGAGGGGGAGGGTGGGGTTCACTTCGCTCGGGAGTTCCCGAACGAGGTGAACCCCACCCTCCCCCTCAGAAATCGTGGGGGGTAGGGGCAGGGCTCGCATGTGGCCCCCTAGGACTCCCGCGGGGCCCACCCCTGCTGGCGGACCCGGATTTGTCAGGAGAGGAAAAACACACAGACACAATGAATCCTCGATTCCCCAGAAAAAATATGGGAAAATATGGGCAGTGGGGGGGAAGACAGAAGGCAGTGGGCGCACACGCAGCGGGTCTCGGCGCCCGCGAGCGGGGGGGGGGGGGCCCGCCGGTGCCCATCGGGCCCCCGCTCCTGGCATCGCTCGGACGTGTGCAGTTCTTCTCGGCGAGAAGCATCGAGGACCATCTCCTGGACCATGGACCTGGACACCGAACACATGCACCCGAGAAATGAACGTCCGAGCGACGGCAAGCCGCTGGCCGACCCGGATCTGGGACTCCCGCGGGGCCCACCCACGACGAGGCGTGCTCGACGCCGGCGGCGTTCGGAGCGCGGCGGGGGCGGAAGGTCCTGACGGGTCCAGCGCCCCCCCCCCCCTCACCACCCACCAAACCACCCCAACCCAACCCGAAGGCCTCAATTTGCCCTCCATTTCCAGTTGGGGGATGGGTCGGGGATCATTGAAAGAACACAGCTGGAACCCTTACCCCCCCCAACCCGAAAGTTGGGTCTTCGGGTTGGGTTGGGGTGGTCTGGTAGGTAGTCACCCCGCCCCCCCCCCCGAGGCCACAGGTTTTGCTGTGAAGTCGGCGCGCTCCTCCCCGACGCCGGGCCCCCCAGCGTCCCCAAGAGCGGCGGGGATCGGTCGAGGTGCCCGCCGGCGCGGACTGCCCGCGCCGTCTCCAGTCCGTGCCCAGGATGGGCGCGTGCCCGCCTTCGCCCCCTCGGGGATGGTTACGGCCCAGGCCCCAGGCTGGACCTAGGATGGGCCAGGGCGCCAGGCAGGACCCAGAGTGGGCCTCATCCACCCTCGGCCACTGCCGCAGCACTGGATCTTCTTTTCCCCCAGCCATCCTGTGGTGCTGGGCCCTCGTTTTGAAGAAAGCACTGCCCCGCGTCACCTCCTCTCCCCCTATCCTCCTCCCCCTCCTCCCTCCTCCCATTCCTTGCGACCCTCACACTTTTGGTGGCCCCATAGGGAGCTCCACAGAAAGCCCCAGTAGCAGGGTTCGCATGCGGTTCCTCCCGAATTTCGGCACTCCTCACACGTTTCGTGACCTCACAGGGAGCTCCACCGGGGGCCCCAGTGGCAGGATTCGCCAGCACGCTCCTCACACGTTTCGTGGCCCCATAGGGAGCTTCGCCGAAGGCCCCAGTACCAGAGTTCGCATGCGGCGCCGCCCATCGGCACATCCCTCACATGTTTCGTGGCCCAATAGGGAGCTCCACCGAAGGCCCCAGTGGCAGGGTTCGCATGCGGTTCCACCCACCACGTCAGCACACCCCTCACACGTTTCGTGGCTCAGTGGCAGGGCTCGCATGCGGTTCCACCCACCATGCCAGCACGCCCCTCACACGTTCCGTGGCCCTACCGGGAGCTCCGAGGGCCCCAGAGGCAGGGTTCGCATGAGGTTCCACCCAAATTGTCGTCACATCCCTCACACGTTTCGTGGCCCCATAAGGAGCTCCACGGGGGGGTTCGCATGCGGTTCCACCCGAATTCCGGCACGCCCCTCACACGTTTCGTGGCCCCGCAGGCAGCTCCACCGAAGGCCCGAGTGGCAGAGTTGGCATGCGGTTGCAACCCGCTTGTCGGCACATCTCATACACGTTCCGTGGTCCCATAGGGAACTCCACCGGAGACGATATTCACAATTGTGGCACTAACCACTGCTCATATTTGGGTCTTTCGCCAGGCTACTTTTGTTAGAGCGGGTTAGGCGTTTCGGCCGAGATTGTCTCACCGTTTGTCATCGCCGTCCCTCATTGATATACACTGCCCGTACTTCCAGCACTTCTATGGATGGAGGCCGTGCCGTCTCAAATATGGGGTTCTCGTCTGGGTGACGCGCACATTCGTCCTCTCGCCAACACGAAGTCAAGCAGTTTCTACTCCAAGTGATGCTATGAGGACCAACGCTTCTGGTAGACTTACCACAGACAGAAACACAACACATACCATTGGCCTCTCGCCATGGCGCCGCGCACCTCTGCCGTCTAAGGAAGCTACAGGGGTGGAGTGCGGCCCCTTTTCAAAACAGGGCTCTCACCCGGTACCTCCCCATCCCCAATCCGCCAGCAGGGAACTTGAGCCAAGGCAACCTTGGAGAGTGAACTGCTCGTCCTGCGGGGCGACCACCTTGGTCCTTCGCCTCTTTAAGGAAAGAGAACCCTAGAGGCTCCGTAGCCCCCCCCCCCCAAAAAAAAAGAGAAGAAAAAACAAAATCCTAGTATCAGAAATGTAATAGTGACAAGCGGCTGAACGGATACAGGAGAGCTTCATTTCAAGCTAGGGCTCATTCCTTCGATGTCGTCGACGCCGTTGTCTTGAATCTGGCATGGCGCAACCGTTACGCAGATGCGAGGTGGTTGCTCATCAAGATGGGGCTGTCGCGTGAGAGACTTCCTCAGGATCCCAACAGTAACAGCTACGCGGACGGAGGGCGGCTCCTTTTCAAAGTTGCTGGGCTGTCGTTGGACACCGCATTGCACTCTATGGCCCGTCTTGTCGCACTCCTCCTCGCTCGAAGGATCGACGGCAGTTCCTGTTCAAAATAAAGCTCCCGCCTGAACTGCGGGCCAATGGGGGTGCCGTCTTCCAAGGGGGGGGCGCTTCGCGCGGCGACAGAGAATGCTGGGGAAGGGGTTACGGGGAGAGGTCTTGGGACGGGAGGGCGTATCGCAGCACGTTGATACATCTTGGGGGGTACTCTGGTTCAAGTCTTCCTCCTCCACCTCATCCTCCTCCTTTGGGTGGGGCGCCACCGTCCCCTTCGTCAGCAAGGGCACGGGGAAGGGGGGCAGGGTCTTTTCATTGATGTGCTCTCTCGCCACCTTACACATCATTGCTTTCATGCCCGCATGCACGTATAATCCTCTAGCGAGCAACTATTCAGAAAGAGTGCAGCATATCTTTGCTGAACTGAAGTCTTGGGATGTAATACGGTTGAACGGCACCCAGAAGAAGACACTAAACGACCAAGTAGAAGAGAAACACAACCATACGCGGCACTGGAGTACATGCTGTGGGTACAAGCCAAGCAGGCTGGTGGACTCGAATTGCGGCATCTGCTTCATATCTCGTCGAATGAGGCGGGAGTCACTACACGGCATTCTTAGACCACCAGCTGGACTACAGGGGCGCGCACCTTGCATACGTTTGCGCGACAAATACATGGATTCTGCAGTTTCCTATGTGCAGATTGCAACTGTACACGATCAAGACAACGCCGACAGCAACAACGATAACGGCCTGGATCGAAGAACGGATTGATTCGGCACCGACCCGCACTACTATCTTCATAGGCGGCGACGTCAAGTCAGACCTAGGACTGTACTGGGACGGCGATGGCATTGTTCTTGTCGATCGCGACCGGCACGGTGGCAAGTGGCAACAAAGAGATGTGCACGCGCGGCGAACTTGCAATGCGCACGACCTTGTTCCAGACGGGACCGACCTTCTATGGCACGAAAGGGAAAAGCAGCAGAATTGGCCACATTGCGATATTGGCTGGCGCCTTACCATATGTTACTATTTGTTCTAGTCTGCGTGGGCCACCAAAGAGAGTCCAGAACACCAGAGCGAGAGGACATGGCGACCACCTGACATTAGGAATGGAGAAGTCGGCCAACATCTACCGTCATCCTAAGCCAGCTCGCGAAGAAACGGTGGGCGGGGACGGTCCGATGAAGCGTTTAAGGACAGGGTGGAACAGGGGTGAGCTGTGCGAGGAGGTCGACAGGAGGTTGAAGGATAAGGAGGAAGAGTGGTGTGTGTCACTGCGCCAGCTTTGGCCAGATGACGCGCGGACGATATTCATTGATGCCGCGGGTGCGGCCCTTCAGACAGCTTTCCGAGACAATAATACTGGAACGTACACTATATATACGAAATAATTAAGAAAGGGAGAGTGCGGCTCCTGGAACAGAGAAGACAGCGTCGGGAAGGGCTGCAGCCAGAGATAGCTGAGCAGCAGATTAGTACTATTAAGCAGAAGCTCCAAGCGCACACCACGGCGGCGCTTTAGCCAGCCAGGCAGAAGGACTTAGCACGAAGAAGAGCCGCGTTCGTCCAGGAGATCTGGGAAGCGTACCAAGGTAAGGACATCTCGCGCATGCATCGCTTAAGAGTGCAGTGCGCCAGTGACGGACATGGGGCCAGCGCGCGTATTTTATTATGCGCCCCAGACGTTCTGGGGCACGGCTACTTGGGGAGAGGGGCTTGGTAGGAAGACTGCTGACTGGGGCATGCCGTGCATATTGCTGGACTTGCAGTTCAATGAGGAAGTGTAGTGTCAGTCTCGCCAAGATGGCTTTCTCCCCAACGACGAGGAGGTTCAGCATTGGGCATGCGAGTATAAGAGAACTCTAACAAGGTCTTCGCCCGAAGCTCAACGCGGATAGCATGCCCACATCGGTGGTTGTCTACAGAAGCCTTTCTCTTCATCGCCAATCCTGAATTGAACTTAGAGAAGCCCGGCAGTCCTAGTGAACGAGGGGGGGGGGGGGGGGGGGGGGGGGGCAAGGAAAACCAGGGGGGGAGGAGGAGAAGGAAGACGAGAGGGAGCTAGCGACGTTCGCCGCTCTCTATACATTCAAGGCGGGCAGGAATCCGATGGATAACATGGGGCGGAGCATGGGGGGGGGGGGCGGCGGGCGCGCGACAGCGAGCCGAAGCCCTTGGCGAGCCAGCAGAGGCGGTGAAGGCGGAGGCGCGGGAGACGGATAGAGGGGACAGAGCAAGGATCGGAGCAAGCAAACTCAGAAGCAGCAGCTACGACATCGAAAAACTACATGGAGCTGCTCGTCCATGTCCGTCGTGCGGGAAACATGCCTCTAGACGCAGACAGGGTCGCTGGCCTTCGACGCGACGAAATGGAGCGGGGTAAAACTGTATAGGAGGATGGGAGATCATGCGCGCGTATTGCAGCGTGGGGACGGGATGGCATTGCGGCATTCATCTACGTGCCCCTGTTCGGCCTCGCCCTGTCTGGGCGTATTGGGGCCTTGCCGCGCGTTCTCGTGAGAATGCATTTATTTGTCTGGTTGGGGGCAAGTGGTGGGCAGAAGTTGTAGGGGTCACGGTCGCGGTCAGCAATTATGATTGCGCTAGCGGTTTCGCTGGTTTCGCTGGAACGCGTCGGGGCCTTCTCTCCGACTTTGTTGCGAAGCGGGCTATCGAGCGTGATCGGAAGTTTGCAGTGGGTGCTGCCGCCCACCCGTCGTTGTCGGATTTGGGCTTCGGACGGACTAGCGCACTTGCAGAGCGAGCCGCGCGGGCGCGCAGATGGGGTTCGCAGTTTCTACCTTGAGATTTCAACGACATCTATAAAGGGCGCGCGCATCGTGGAGTGTGGGCGTGGTGGCGGTGGTGGTGGTGGTGGTGGTGGTGGGGGTGGTGGGTGGGTGGGTGGGGGGGGGGGCGTGGGCGCGGCGACCGCGAGCTTCTTGAGACGCAGCACCCGACCGCGCGAACGTATCGCAACCTGTCTCTCGGCGCGTTCATGGGTGACGCCACACAGGCGCATGCCCTCAATGAGGGACGCAGTGCAGAAGAGATCGCGCAGTCCTTGAACGACTCGACCCATCGCCTCGAAGAGGTCATAGAGAAAGGGGGTAATCTTCCAATGCTGGCGAAACAAACCGTCTTCTCTGTCTAAGAGGTGCAGGGGGCGACGAGGCGACCCGGAGGTTAAGAGTACCAAGAGTAATGCATGGAGCTGTCTGTAGAGAAGTTCTGGCCCTGGGGCCGCATTCGCCGGCAGACCAAGGGCTACTCCAGGAAGTATCTAGACGTTGTGCAGCAGCTCGAATGGCCTGGGGGCAGCGCAGGGCTTTTTGGAAGGCACGCACCAGTAACATCGCGAAGCGCATGGTGTTCGAAGCTTTCGTGACGGGGGCGGCTCGCAGCGGCCTCGTTGCATTCGCCCCCCCCCCCCCCCCCCCCCCCCCCCCCCCCCCATCATCGCTTGTCAACATCGACGGTGCGCTCGCTAAGTTATCGAGATGTCCTGCAGCAGGGGAATTATGCTGGACCAGTGAAGAGGGTGAAACAGATGTAGTTCAAACGAAGGAGTCTGTAGGCACTGGGGCCTCAATGGCACGTCCACAATGCTGAGGATGAGAAGGCTGAAATGGTACCATGCGTGGCCGAAGCGCCCAGTGCAGCGCAGCGGTGCACTTGCGGCCGTCTTTGGTGACTGACGTCTCGGCCAGCTTAAGAATGCCCCCCCCCCCCCCCCCCCCCCCGGAATGGCCCCAGGCAAGTTTGTGTTGCCCCAAGATAGTGAAGTACAGTGGGTGGTTCAATTTCTTGAAGACATGGGCGCGCTCGCGCAGGTTGAGGAGAGCATGCCAGTGGTGCGCAGCACGAGGCAGCGGCTTGGAAGTATGTTTGCCTGGCACTGAAGCGCGTGACAGACTGCAGTTGGTCGACCCCCACATCCTAGGGAACTCGAAACAACGGGCGAAGGTTGGCCCAATTCGCCAAGTAGCGGTGGGGGAGGTTTTCAGCGGGGAGGTCGCCCTGGAGGAGTTGGAGAAACCAGTTTGGTGTGACCGTCAGGGGGTCGGGGGCAAGGCGCGCGGCAAACGGTTCTCCAGTGTGAGAGCTCCTAGAGGACACGCGAGAGAAGCCTCGTGGCGGCGTCGAAGGAGACGGGGGCAGACAAAACCAGCGCGCGCAGACCCTCGGAAAAAGGGCGCGGCCCTGGGCCGCCGCGCCCGCGCGCGGCAGGGGCGGGAACCGAGGCGACGGCGGACAGCCTGGGCCAAAACGTCGCTGAAGAACAGGAGGCCAAGCACATCCTGGCGCTGCGGGTGACGCAGGCGGAGGCGGAGCACGGACAGGCCTTCGTGAGCGATACGATCAGCATATTCAAAGTCAGCGACACCCACCGTCCAGACGACCAGATGGAGGGCGAGACGCAGAAGAGCAAGGTGATGTTCACTCTCAGCCCCGACTACGACATCAAGGCGGCCCTCGAGCATATTAGGTTCCCGATCGAGGGGTGCCAGCTCGAGTTCCACGCGGGGAAGCTGACGCAGGCGATGGCGGTGGCGCTCCACAAGGCGGGAGGGCACAGGCCTGTGGGGGGCGGGCCGAAGGTGGAGCTGGATCGGGTCGTGGAGCGCCAGCTGAAATCGCTGCAGGAGAAGTGAGTGCAGTAATAGGCACGAAAGCAGAGAGAGAGAGAGACGCCGGATTTGTTGCTACGATGCGAGCCCATCCAATTGCGAACGTTGCGGCTGGCCCCGCAACCTTGGCAAGACGAAGGAAGATGTCCGCTGACTGTTCCCAGCATGCAGCCATAATGCTCAGTGCCGGAGACGCTGAGCGTTCCAGACTTCAGTGCAGAGCTCAAGCAGTTATAGTAGCAGTAATCGTGCGGGAGAGTACCCTGCCCACCTAAGGCGATGCGCAGCTCCTGAGTGGCAGCCGCCGAAGCCACCCTTCCTTCCCCTTCTCTGCTGGCCTCCCCCTCCCCCCTTGTTTCTTTCGGGGGCGCCTCGAGCGGGCGACGTAATGCGTCTGAGTTTTGTTCCCTCCAGCTCGCGGCGCGCCTCCTCCTCACTCGAGAAATGCGGGTGCCTTCCCGCTCAACGGGCCACGTTCTCGCCCACTGGGGCTGCCAGCCGCCCTGAGCATGTGCCCTCGAAACACTGTTGCGCATACGTCGAGAGGGGGCGTGCCAGAGATCCGCGCAGGGGTGCGACAATTGCAGTGGATGTCTGACTGTATGCACCCGCGAGCGCAGCGCCTCAGTGCCTCAGTGCCTCAGTGCCTCAGTGCCTCAGTGCCTCAGTGCCTCAGTGCCTCAGTGCCTCAGTGCCTCCTCCTCCTCCTCCTTCCTCCTCCTCCTCCTCCTCCTCCTCCTCCCTTCAAGGTGCGCCGGGTGAAATGGGGATGTTGGGGGCGCCATGCGGGGCCACTCGGGGCGCGTGCTCCCTGCACCCATCGGGCCCGTCCGAGGTGGTGTCTTCGTTCTACGGCCCACGAGGAGCGCGCCCGCCATGGAGCGCACAACCGAAGAAGGGGAGAGCAGGGGCGAGGAGAATTAAGAGTTCTAGGATCGAGGTTCTTGGATGCCTCTGGGAACCTTCTGGGCCTTCGCGCGGCCTCTCGTCGCCACGGTTGGATTCCTCTTTGACCTGGAGGAATATGTACGCATCCCTGGAGAAGTCCGCGGGTCGGTCTGTCGAGGGAGGAACAAGGGGGGGGGGGAGGAGGAGGAGGAGGAGGAGGAGGAGGAGGAGGAGGAGGAGGAGGAGGAGGAAGGGGAGGAGAAGGAGGAGGAAAAGGAAGAGAAGGAAGATGTTTATGATTCTTCTCTTCGTGATGACTCCTCGTGTCTTTTTTACTCATCTTCCTCCTTCCTCTTCTTTTCGTGTTTTTGTCAACTCCTCGCCCCACTTTTAAGACCCCCGACTTTAGGTGATAATCGGGGGTCTCGAAACGGGGCGGCAAGACCGTCCCCGATAATATGATTATCTTCCAGGGGGCCCTGGCACCTCAGAGTGCAGTCCTTTCCGCAGGAGACGACATGCACTTTCAGGATGTTTCGATCATGTTTTTCCAGCGGAGGTGCGCCCTGTCGCCGGCACCAAGGTGGGATGTCGCCCCCCTCCTGGGTGCTCAGAAAAAGCCCTTGGATGAGCACACCCCCAGTAGCGTGGGCGGGACTGCCCGCCGATACGCCTGACCCAGGTGGTCACTGGCCCTCAAGGGGGACCAGTGCCTGGGTCGCAGATTCAGCGGGACGAGAAGGAGAGGAGGAAGAGGAGGAGGAGGAGGAGGAGGAGGAGGAGGAGGAGGAGGAGGAGGAGGAGGAGGAGGAGGAGGAGGAGGAGGAGGAGGAGGAGGAGGAGTTGGAGGAGGAGGAGGAGGAGGAGGAGGAGGAGGAGGAGGAGGAGGAGGGAAGGACGAGGAGGTGGAGGAGGAGGAGAAGGAGGAGGAGGAGGAGGAGAGGAGGAGGAAGGATGGACGAGGAGGAGGAGGAGGAGGAGGAGGAGGAGGAGGAGGAGGAGGAGGAGGAGGAGGAGGAGGAGGGGAGGAGGAGGAGGAGGAGGAGGAGGAGGAGGAGGAGGAGGAGGTGGAGGGCAGCAGCAAGAGCGAAGTGGGAGTCCGGCCAGCTCGAGCGAGCCAGCGGGCCCGTCTAGTCTCACACGCCCTGCCACAGCAGCACTGAACTCGTCGTCGGCATCGCCCGATGATCGACCGTCTGCCAAGGGTCCCGGTGCGTGCGCCGCGCCCCAGCGGGAACGGAACAGAGCGCGCCTTTTTTGGAGCACAGCTGCGCGGCGTTGTAGGCGAGGGTGGTATTTCAAGTGCTCTCGCGCGCGACATGTGCGCGTCCACCGCGGCGTCGACGACATACGAATCTTCCTATCAATAATACAGAATAGTAACAGTCGAATCCAAACGGAAGACGAGTGACATCGATTTGGCATTGCTCTTGGTGGGTCGGGTTGCCCCCCCGATGCTGACCCTGAGCGGGGTTCCCGAACGAGGGTGGTGGGAGTAAATCAGGATCGGAGGAGGATGCAGAGTACGATAAGGAGGACAACGAAGCATCCAGCGATAAGGAGGACGATAAGGAGGACAACGATAAGGAGGACGACGATAGGGAGGACAACGATGAGGAGGACAACGAAGAGGAGGAAAAAGAGGAGGCTGCAGCATCCAGCGGTGCCGATTGCGCTTGAGGTTCGACGTGTGCAGGATGAGCGCGGGCTGTCGAGTCAAGTGGAGCCCGAGCTTTCTTCGTTCCCTCCACGTCTTCTCCGGCCTCTTCCTCCTCCTCTCCACGGCGAGCGCTGCATCAGACGAGTCTCCTCGTCTCCTCCACGTCCCTCCTCAGCCCGAGCTTTCTTCGTTCCTTCCACGTCTCCTCCGGCCTCTTCCTCCTCCTCTCCACAGCGAGCGCTGCATCAGACGAGCGTCTGGCGCGAGCGACTGTTGGTCGGAGCGGTCAGCGGAACACCGCACGATGGACGGAGCGGGCGAGGTCAGGCTGGCCTGCCTCCAGACGGCGCGAGGAGGCGGGATGCGCCTCCTTCTGCTCTATGCGTAGCACAGATTAGGCTACCTCCGCGGCCCCCGAAAAGCTTCTGAACAAGACACCCCGCAATCAACGTCGAGACAGAAGGTCCCACCGCCTCCCTGCCAAAACTGCCCAGCGGGCCCCCCACTTGGGACTCCTTCTCGCCCCCAACTGAGATTCTTTCTCATGGGCCGCGCGGCTTAGATTCTTCCTCGTGCGCCCTCCATATGAGATTCTTTCTCGTGGGGCACCCCAGTTGGTATTTCTTCTCGTGGGCCCCCCAATCGGAAATCAGCCTCGTGGAGCTCACAACTTGGGTTCCGTATCATGTCCCCCGCAGTCTGGATTCTTTCTTTTCCCTTTTTTAATTATTTCTCATGGGACCCATGTGCAACCCCGCCTCGCGATACGCAGGAGGGGAATGGAGTATCAATGGTAGTGTGGTGCTCCCTCGCTTTGTCAGAGGACTGGGTGCTTCTTTCACAGCACCGGGCGGACTGGTTCTCCACGGTGGCGTGTCATTGATCGCCACGCCAGCGCGCGTGCGCGCCCGCTCGCGCGCCGAGATGCCACTCCAGCCGCGGAGCGAGGCCCCTGCCGATGAGACGCAGCTGCGCCACCCCAGACCCCCGCGCGCGAGCAGCGCCCAGGCGCGCAACGAGGCGCCACTCCCGTCGCGGAGAGAGACCCCCACCAGTCGCGAAGCGAAACCCTCGCGGATGCTACGGATGACGCCACTCCCAGTCACTGCCACGCAAGGCCACCCCCTCTCCCCCCGAAAATGGGGAGGAAGAGGAGGAGGAGGAGAAGGAGGAGGAGGAGGAGGAGGATGAGGAGGAGGAGGAGATGGAAGAGGGGGAGATGGAAGAGGAGGGGGAGGAGGAAAGGGAGGAGGAGAAGGAGGAGGAGGAGGAGGAGCACCAGCAGCAGCAGCTGGCGGCGGCGGCGGACGAGGAGGAGGAGGACAACGAGGAGGAGGAGGAGAAGGAGGAAGATGAGGCGGAGGAAGGAGGAGCAATCGGAAGATGAGGAGGAGGAGGAGGAGGAGGAGGAGGAGGAGGAGGAGGAGGATGAGGAAGAGGAGGAGGCCTCAGGAGGAGGAAGAGGAGGGGGAGGGTACAACTGGCGGAGAGTGTAGGGTGACTGGCACTGTGTCCCTCCTGGATGCAGTGCGGCGAGACGGTCCGAGTCTGGGGCTGTGAGCACCGTGCGGGCCCCTGATTCGCTCGAGCTTGAACGCCAGTGACAGCTGCGGGCGACAGGATGTGCACGCACATGTTCTGGGAGAAAGGGAAGGGGACGACATATTTTGAATCACTTCATTGACACGAGAGGGGGAGGGGGAGGAGGAGGAGGAGGAGGAGGAGGAGGAGGAGGAGGAGGAGGAAAACGAGGAGGAGGAGGAAGAGGAGGAGTAGGAGGAGGAGGAGAAGGAGGAGGAGGAGGAGGATGAGGAGGAGCAGGAGTGCCCCACAAGTCAGGGTGGGAGGCCAAAAACTTAACCACACATCACGCCAGGGGGATCCACCTGCCTCCAGCCTACTCCTGCCTCAACGGATCGCCCGCGAGAGGGCGGCAGCGGCGGCGCGACTGGCAGAGGCCGAGAGCGCGGCCTCGTCCTCGAGGCTGTAGACCTTGGAGGGGAAGCCCATGGCATTTGCGAGCGGGTGACATGGGTTGTAAGAGCAGAGCTTCTGTGGTCCGGGGGGGCCGAGGCGAGGGGGGGGCCCAGGAGGGGGGCGCGGGTCGGCTCTGGGCGCGAAGTTGCGGCGTGGGGGGCCCCATGAACAGAGCTTCCGTGCTCTTGGGATGCCGAGGCGAGGAGGGGGAACTGGAGGGGGCGTGGGTTGGTTCTGGGTGTGCTATTGCGGTGTGGGGGGGTCCCAGGAACAGAGCTTCCGTGGTCTGGGGATGTCGTCGGCGAGGAGGGGGGCCAGAAGGAGGGCGCGGGTCGGTTCTGGGCGCGAAATTGCGGGTTGGGGGCTCCCACGAACATGCAGTTCCCGTAGTCTGGGGATGCCGAAGCGAGGAGGGGGGCCAGGATGGGGGGCACGAAATTGCAGGGTGGGGGGTCCCACGAATAGGGCTTCCGTGGCGAGTGGATGCCGAGGCGAGGAAGGGCCAGGAGAGAGGCAAGGAGGGGGGCGCGGGTCGGTTCTGGGCGCGAAATTGCGAGGGGGGCCCGAGAACAGAGCTTCTGCGGTCTGGTGATGCAGAAGCGAGGAGAAGGGCCAGGAGGAAGGCGTCAGTCGGTTCCGGGCGCGATGTTGCTGGGTGGAGGGCCCAAGAACAGAGCTTCCGTGGTTTGGGGCTGCCGAGGCGAGTGGGGGTCCAGGAGAGGGGGCGCGGGTCGGTTCCGGGCGCGATATTGCTGGGTGGGGGGGGGCCCTGGAGCAGAGCTTCCGTGGTCTGGGGGTGCTGCGGCGAATGGGGGGGCAGGAGGGGGGCGCGGGTCGGTTTTGGGCGCGAAGTTGCGGGGTGGGAGGCCCCGCAAACAGAGCTTCCGTGGTCTAGGGATGCCGAGGCGAGGAGGGGGGCCGAGAGAGGGGCCATGAGGGGTGCGTGGGTAGGAGGAAGGCGTGCGTTGGTTCCGGGCGCGAGATTGCTGGGCGGGGGGTCCCGAGAGCAGAGCTTCCGTGGTCTGGGGGTGCCCAGGCGAGGGGGGGGGGCGGCAGGAAGGGTGCGCGGGTCGGTTCTGGGTGTGAAATTGCGGGGTGGGTGCCCCGAGAATAACCAGCCTCGAACTTATCCCTATTCCCTAAGATTGACACGCCAAAAGGCGATGACAATCTTAGGGATGCGCCCTGAAAAACTAAAGGAATGCCTAATATTGGCATTGTGACGAGGCGATGCCCAGCTTAGGGATAGGGATATGTTCCAGGCTGATAAGAGAACATAGCTTCTGTGGTTTGGGGGTGCCGAGGCGATGAATGTGGGGCCAGGAGGGGCCAGGAGGGGGGCGCCGCGGGTCGGTTCTGGGCACGAAATTGCGGGGTGGGGTGACCGAGAAACAGAACTTCCGTGATCTACTGGTACAAAAGCAAACAGGGGCGCCGGGAGGACGGCGTGAGTCGGTTCCGGGCGCGATATCAGCGCGTCCGTGGTCTGGAGATGCCGAGGCGAGGAAGCGGGCCATGGGGGGGGGCGCGGGTCGGTTCTGTACACGAAATTGCTGGGTGGGGGGTCCCAGAAACAAGGCTTCCGTGGCTTGGGGATGCCGAGGCGAGGAGGGGGGCCTTGAAAGGGGCAACTAGGAGGGCGCGGGTCGGTTCTGTATACGAAATTGCGGGTTGGGGGTCCCGAGATCAGAGGTTCCGTAGCCTGGTGATGCAGAAGCGAGGAGGGGGGTAAGCAAGAAAGTGTGAGTCGGTTCCGTGCGCGATATTGCTTGGTGGGGGGGCCCAAGAGCAGAGCTTCTGTGGTTTGGGGATGCCGAGGCGAGGAGGGGGGGGGGCAAGAGGGGGGCGAGGGCCAGTTCTGGGCGCGAAATTGCGGTGCGGGAGAGCTCAAGAACAGAGCTTCCGTGTTCTGGGGATGCCGAGGAGGGGGGGGGGGCGGGGGCAGGACAGGGGCCAAGAGGGGGGCGCGGGGCGGAACGAAAGTGCGCAATGGAGGGCCAGGAAAGGGGGCGCGGGTCGGTTCCGGGCACAGAGCTCCCGTGGTCATGGGATGCCGAGGCGAGGAGGGGGGCCAGGAGGGGGGCGCGGGTCGGTTCAGGGCACGCAGTTGCGGGGTGGGAGGCCCAAAATCAGAGCTTCCGTGGCCTGGGGATGCTGTCGGCGAAGAGGGGGGCCAGGAGGGGGGCGTGGGTCGGTTCTGGGCAACGAAATTGCGGTGCGGGGGCTCCCAAGAGTAAAGTTTCCATGGTTTGGGGGTGCCGAGGCGAGGGGGGGGGCCAGGAGGGGACCGTGGGTCGGTTCTATGCACGAAGCGAAAAGGGGGCCAGGAGGGGGGCGTGGGTAGGCTCCGGGTTCCGGGCGCGATATTGCTGGGTGGGGGTCCCAAACAACAGATCTTCTGCGGTTGGGGGGTGCCGAGGCGAGGAGGGGGGCCAGGAGGGGGGCCAGGAGAGGGGGCGCGGGTCGGTTCTGGGCACGACATTGCAGGGTGGGGGGTCCCAAGAACAGGGCCTCCGTGGTTTGGGGGTGCCGAGGCGAGGAGGGGGGCCAGGAAAGGGACCAGGAGAGGTGCGCGGGTCGGTTCAGGGAACGAAATTGCATGGTGGGGGTCGCAAGAACAGAGAGCTCCCGTGGTATGGGGGCGCTGGGGCGAGGAGGGGGACCAGGAGGGGGGCGTGGGTTGGTTTTGGGAACGAAATTGCTGTGTCTGGGGTCCCAAGAGCAGCGCTTCCGTGGCCTGGGGATGCCGAGGCGAGGAGGGAAACCATGAGGAGGGCGTCGGTTGGTTCTGGGCACGAAATTGCGGGTGGGTGGTCACAAAAGCGGTGCTTCCGTGGCCTGGGGATGGGGGGGGGGGGCAAGGGGAGGGCGCGGGTCGGTTCTGGGCATGCGATTGCCGAGTGGGGGATCCCAAAATAAACTGTCTGTGGTCCGGGGATGCCGAGGCGATGAGGGAGGCCAAGAGGGGGGCGTGGGTCGGTTGTGGGCACGAGATTGCGGGGTGGGGAATCCCAAGAACAGAGCTTCCGTGGTCTGGGGATGCAGAAGCAAGGATCGGGGCCAGGAGGAAGGCGCGAGCCGGGGTCCCACGAACAAGCCTTCCGTGGTCTGGGGGTGCCGAGGCGAGGAGGGGGGCCAGGAAAGGGGGCGCGGGTCGGTTCTGGGCACGACATTGCGGGGTGGGGGGTCCCAAGAACAGGGCTTCCGTGATGCCGAGGCAACGAGGGTGGCTAGGAGAGACCCCATGAGAGGGGCGTGGGTCGGTTCAGGCCACGAAATTGCGAGGTGGGGGGTCCCAAGAACAGAGCTTCCTTGGCCTGGAAATGCCGTCGGCGAGGAGGGGGGCCAGGAGGGGGGCGTGGGCCAGTTCTGGGTACGAAATTGCGTTGTGGGGGGGCTCAGGAACGTAGTTTACGTGGGTTGACGGTACCGAGGCGAGGGGGGGTGGGTGCCGGGGCCGGGAGATGAGCGTTGGTAGGTTCCGGGCGAGAAATTCTGGAAAGTGGGGACCCAAGAACAGAGACGCCGTTCGGGGTTGGGGTCGGAATCGAGGTCGGGGTCGGTTCCGAACCAGGACATCATCCAAACAAGGCCTTGTCGTTTTGGGAATTGTCCACAGGTGAACAGTTGAGTCTCACACGCCTCTGGGGTCGGTGCATGAGGAGGATGACGATCATGATGATGAGGGTGATGCTGACAATGACGATGATGCTGATGATGACGATGTTGATGATGATGATGATGATGCTGCTGATGATGTTGATGATGATGATGCTGATGCTGATGCTGCTGATGATGATGATGATATCGATACTGATGATGAGGATGACGGTGATGATGATGATGATGATGATGATGATGATGATGATGATGGTGGTGGTGCTGATGACGAAAATGTCGATATTGCTGATGATGTTAATGGCAGTGATAAGGATGATGCTGTTGGTGGTGGTGGTGATGGTGCTGATGATGGCGACGATGATGATGACGATGATGATGATGATGTTGGTGGTGATGCTGATGCTGTTGATGGTGCTGATGAGGATGATGATGAGGATGATGGTGATGGTGCTGATGATGATGATGATGATGATGATGATGCTGATGCTGATGATGATGATGATGAGGATGATGATGATGATTATAATGATAATGATAATGATGATGATGATGATGATGATGATGATGATGATGATGATGATGATGATGATGATGATGATGATGAGGAGGAGGAGGAGGAGGATGATGATGATGATGACGAGGATGTTGATTTTGATGATGATATGATGATGGTGATGACGAAGCTGATGATGATGCTGCTGATGATGATGACGATGATGATGATGCTGATGCTGATACTGATGGTGATGGTGATGCTGATCATGTTATTGATGAGGATGATGATGAGGAGGAGGAGGAGAAGGAGGAGGGCGAGCAGCAGGAAGAGGAGTTAAACCGAACTCGTTCCCACTCATCTTCTTGTGATCCCTCAGTGGGAGGAAGACGAGGAGGTGGGAGGAGGACGATGAGGAGGTGAGGAGGCGGATTATGACAATGAGGAGGAAGAGGAGGAGGAGGAGGAGGAGGAGGAGGAGGAGGAGGAGGAGGAGGAGGAGAAGGACAGGAAGAAGGCGGCGACGACGGCGGCGGCAGCGACGACGACAGGAGTCGACCGAAACAGGCCTCCGTGGATCTTTCGCTCTGGGAGGTTCTTCGGGACCACTTGAAGCCATCTTGAGGCCATCTTTGGACAATTTGCGCCGCCTTTGGGGCTCTTGGGGCCCACTTCCTCTTGGGGCCGTCTTGAATGCAATAGGCTCCTCTTGAAGCTGTCTTGGGGTCTTTGGGGCACACTAAGGAGGCCATCCTGAGCAATATTGAGCTATAGTGTATACCATCTGAGTCCATCTTAGACGCTCTACCTTCCCCCGCCCCGTCCATATCCAGGGCCCTCGGTGAGGAAGAGAGAGGTTGGATGGACAAACTCGCTAGACCAAATCCAGGGCGAGAAGCTTGGAACGTGATGAAAGGAGTTCCATCCTCGTCCTCCAGGGTGGGGAGATCAGGGCTCCAGGCGGTCGCCTCATCGGACCCCGCCCCCACTCCCTAACGCGGCGCCCAGGATCGCCCGGGTGCGGCCTGGTCCACCACAGTGTCCAGTGCGACGGCTGCGGCGAGTTTCCCCTGGTGGGCACCAGGCCGTCCTGTGGCCGCGCTGCTCGGGGACGCGCGGTGGCAGACTGAGGGAGGGGAGGGGAGGAGGAGCAAGGGGTGGGCTCAGTTCTCAGGGCAAGGGCTGGGGGTGGAGGATACGGGCCCAGGGCAAGGGATCGTGGGAGGAGAATCGCGAGGGGGCAGCTCGTTGTTGCGACGCGGAGCCTTGCATTGAAGCGTGCGCTCACGTGATCCAGTAGGGAGGAGCGTGTGGCCCTATGCCGACGACACGGGAGAGGAGGCCCAGAAGCGCCCGGGAGGCAGCGAAGGCCTGAGCTGATATAGAGCCAGCGGGGAGAGCGGCGGGGGGCAGCCCGCAGCGAGGGAGCCCGAAGCAGGCGCAAGCGCGCAGACCGGCTGCCCTCGAGCGGGCGGGGGGCCCAGCGCCCAAGGCGGCCTCACCCCCAAAGGAGGGGCCCACACCCGACGGGGAAGCAGGGATCCACCCCCCGGGGAGAGGAAGGGAGAGGAGGGCAAGAGTCGGGGGCGGAAAAGAGTGGGGTGATGACTAGGGGCGGGATATCATGGCGGGGGCCATGATATCTCCCCAGATTTCATGGCGCCTCTTCTCATTTCATTACATCCCTGGACCCCCCCTGGGCCGCGCACATGCCGCCGGTGATGATTTGCACCCCCCCTCTCTTGGACACCCCCCTCTTGGCCGCTCCCGAAAGAGAGGGCGAGAAAGGTAGAGCGGAGGGGGAGAGAGGGGAGAGGAAAGAGCAGCAGAGCCCTGTCGCCCCATGGGGCTAATTGGGCCCACGCTTTGGCGGGACATCTTCGAAGAGGACCGCGACCACCGCGCGAATGCATTCCATCATGAGGGCGGCGCACATGAAGAGGACTCGTCTGCACGCCGAGTTTCTCGCACATCTCGAGGTCGAGTAAATCTTCTTGACCCTGGTATTTGGCAAGCAGGGTGTCAATCCTCCCCAGCATAGAGGGGTCGTGCTGCTGCGCAGCGTCCGTGATTCTCACCCTGCACTCGGCGCAGCATCCGGGCTGGCTCTGCTAGCGCTCGGCTCGGCAGCATTCTTCTCGTTCTGGCGGAGCGGCGGGCGAGGCGAGGACGACGCGTCGCAGGAAACGACGCACCTCAGCACCGCGATTTCCACGACGACCGGTCCAGGCGAAGCCTCCGACTGCTGCAGAGAAGGGGCCCCAGGGTGAAGCAGGATGAAGGGCAGCCGAGGGCTGTGAGCGGGCGGCGGCACAGGGGGCTGAACACCTTGACGACCAGCATACCGTCGGGGCGCTCCAGAAGGAACCCCTTTTCGTTGGGGAGGGGCTCGGCGTTCCTTGATTGTTTTGCAGTTTGCCTTGGGTTTTCCTTGGGGGTTCCATGGGAAATCGAAGTTTATCTCATGGGAAAAAGGGGCCTCGTTCCTTATTTAGGGTTCCTTAGGCCAACGCCCCGACTGTAGTCCTGTCGATCGCCACCCAGTCGGCGAGGGCGGGCAAGAGCACCGTTTGCGATGGAAGCCAGACGTCTGAGCAGGACCGGGGCGGACAAGGCCGTATGTAGGCTTGCGCCGAGTCGCGTGCGTCGGCAGCGAGAGGCACGCGGACCGACGCGCGCCGCGTAGCGCGCGCCGCGCAGGCCGAGCCTCCGCGCAGCGGCGGGGAGGCGCGGCCTCGAGCGTCAGCCGACAGTGCAGTGCCGTTTTTGAATACATGCTCCGCGTGCGGATCATGTCTGAAAACATGCAGGGAGGCAGTATTGAAAACAACGATGAGTTCATGCATACATTTATTCATACATTAATCCCATGTGTTAAAATCAGATATCCTTTATCAGAGTGAGGGGGCCGAACGGTCATTCACTGTCCCTGGGTGCATGGCTGAAGTGGGATTCCGCGGTGCGGATTCTCGTTGTTGTTGTTGTTGTTGTTGTTGGTGTTGTTGTTGTTGAACATTATTAATTCTAAAGAATAATTATTGTTGGGACCCCTGGTGCACGGCCCCCCTGCGCCGCCTAGGCCGCAGCTACATTTTCATCATTTTCGTGAGGAAGCCTCAGGTAAACGATGTGATCAAGATCCGGTTGTTTTGTTGTAATCCGTTTTCCCTTGCAAAAAACACTATAAAATGACATTTCTTGTTCTAATATAATCAAATTTCAAGAATCCCTTGCAAAAAATAAGGTAAAGTGGACATTCGCGCGCGCAAGACGAAATCCTTCCAAAAGCTTAGTGTTCGGAGCGATTTTAACATAAAAACATCAAAAAACCAATGGTTTTTCAACAAAAAAATGTCAAAATCTCATCCCGCGCGCTCTTGCGGATTCGTAGGAAACCCAACACTTTTTAAACATTTCTGTCAAACGGGCTTTTGCGAGCAACTTTTTCGAACTTCTGCGACAACGGTTGCGCACCTGCCAGGGCCATCATCCCTGTCAAATAATACCATGCGGGACACATTCGTTTTTTCTTCGCGCGCGCACGCCGAAATCTCCAAAAACCATTGGGTTCTTAAGAATTTTAGCACCGCGCATCATAAAATCACACGAATCGCACCGTAGGTCCTCGAAAAACACCTGCACGACTTTTCAAAATTTCCACCCGCGCGCGCTGTCCGAATCCTAAAAAAACCAATGGTTTTCCAACATTTATGTTACATGAGCTCGCGCGAGCTACTTTCGCACGCTCTTGCAACGGGGTTCGCGCGCCTGCCAGGGGCCAGAATCCCTTGCGGTTGCGCCATATGTTGCGCCCTCGGCCGCCGAGAATAAAACGCCCCCCTATTGGTTGCGTCATAGGTTGCGCCCTCGGCCGCCGAGAATAAAACGTCCCCCTACTGGTTGCGCCATAGGTTGCCCCAGGAGGCCTTCAAGAGGCCCCAAGAGCCCGCCGTGAGGACCCAATAAGCCCCCAAGAGGCCCCAAGATGCTTCCAAGAAGCCCCCCAAAGCCCCTCAAGAGGACCCCAAGCGGCGCCAGGAGGCTTCCCCCCTTCCCCAAGAGGACCCCAAGCGGCCCCAGGACCCCAAGCGGCCCCAAGAGGACCCCAAGCGGCCCGTGGGCGTGCAAGCGCCGTTCCCGCCCCTCCTCTCTCTTCTCTCCTTTCCTCCTTGTCCTGTTCCTCCTCCTCCTCCTCCTCCGGCGGGGGGCGTGAGGATCCGGCATCGCTCACAACCATCGGGACAACCATCGGGACAACCATCGGAACAACCATCGGGACAACCATCGGGACAATCATCGGGACAGTCATCGGGACAACGATCGGGACAAGCACAACCATCAGGACAACCATCGGGACAATCATCGGGACAACGATCGGGACAACCACAACCATCAGGACAACCATCGGGACAACCATCGAGACAACCATCGGGACAACCATATCCTCTCTCTCTTGTGTATTCCCACATCCCTCAGGAATTTGCCCTAAAGATGTGATCAACTATCTTGTGAGTACGTATCATGTGTATCATGTGTATCATGTACCATATGCATCATATGCAACAGATGTTCTGTGGAAGGCTTAACAACTTCTGTGGGTTAACAAGGCTTAACAACTTCTGTGGGTGTACGAACGTAGGCTTAACAACTTCTGTGGGTGTGTACTCCACGCCAGTGTAGTAGCCACGGTCGTCCGCAGGCCACGAAGTGAAGTGTCCGAACGTCATAGGGCGGGAAGCTGGGTGTGGGTGGTGGCGAAGAGTCGTGTGGATATTTGGTAGAGCTTGCACTGCCCCCCCACAAAGTGGGGGTATTGGCTGGCGTCGCATGAAAACCCTGGCACTGGTGAGAACACTGAGCGTTCGGGTAAAGTGATTGTTGTTGTTGTTGTTGTTGTTGTTGTTGTTGTTGTTGTTGTTGTTGTTGTTGTTGTTGTTGTTGTTGTTGTCGTCGTCCCACCCGCACCCGCCCCGCGACCCACCCCGCGACCCACCCCGCGACCCACCCGCGACCCACCCGCGACCCACCCGCGACCCACCCGCGACCCACCCGCGACCCACCCGCGACCCACCCGCGACCCCCCGCGACCCACCCCGACGACCCACCCCGCGACCCACCCGACCCCGCGACCCACCCGCGACCCACCCGCGACCCACCCGCGACCCACCCGCGACCCCCGCGACCCACCCGCGACCCCCCGCGACCCACCGCGACCCACATTCGACCCAAACCACGTTCAAGGTGAAAACCACCATTTTCGGCGCCTGCGGCGAGCTTTTTTTGCATTCCTTCCAGGTGGAGAGCCCGCGACCCACCCCGCGACCAACTCGCGACCAACCCGCGACCCAAACCACGTTCAGGGTACAAACCACATTTTTCGGCGCCTGCGGCGGGCATCTTTTGCAGTCGTTTCAGGTGGAGAGCCCGCGGCCCACCCGCGACAACGTTCAGGGTACACCAATTTTTTCGGCGCCTGCGGCGGGCATCTTTTGCATTCGTTCCCGGTGGAGAACCCGCGGCCCACCCGCGACCCATTCCACGTTCAGTGTACAAACCATTTTTTTCGGCGCCTGCGGCGGGCTGCTTTTGCATTCCTTCCAGGTGGAGGTGGAAAGCCCGCGACCCACCCGCGACCCAAACCACGTTCACTGAACAAACCAATGCCGCACAAGCGCGGCGGCGGATTTTTGCATGCCGTCTGAGCCCGCAACGACCTCTTCAAGCCCCGCGCATCCACACCAGCCCGTCCAGCAACTTTGCCCTGGCGAGTTGCCTTGATCAGAGAAGTCGGGGAGCATAAAGTGGAAAAAAGGATTGCGTTGCCGTTATCTTGGGAAAGGAGGGGGAGGCAGGAGGAGTAAACAGGGGACGAGGAGGACGCGAAAGAAGAGAGGATGTAAGGAGAATGTGGAGAAAGAGGAGGAGGAGGAGCAGGAGGACGAGGAGGGGGAGGAGGGGGAGGAGGAGGACGAGGAGGGGGAGGAGGGGGAGGAGGAGGATGATGATGGACGACAGTGGGAGGACGATGATGGAGGCCGATGAGGGGGTGGACGACAATGGGAGGACGATGATGGAAGGACGAGGGGGGGAAGAGGGAGGACGAGGAAGAAGAGGAGGAGGAGGAGGAGGACGAGGTGGAGGAGGAGGATGACGATGACGATGACGACGAGGACGAGGACGAGGACGAGGAAGAGGAGGAGGAGGAGGAGGAGGAGGAGGAGGAGGAGGAGGAGGAGGAGGAGGAGGAGGAGGAGAGCGCCATCGACAGGGAAGGTGGGAGCCACGAGGTCTGCCGGCTCGACGACGCCCGCGTCGCCCGCGCCCGCCCCCTCACTCTTATCCGCAATTGCGGGGTGCTACGTATTAAAAATCCGATGTATAAAAGCCATGCAGCAAAAGCATATGTTAATACCACGTTTATACTACTATTAAAAAAAACCCATGTATTAAAATCACGTGTTACACACATTAAACATCATATAGGTTTTAAACTCCCATGTATTCAAATCTGCCCTGTACCATGCCTTTCGGGGGGATCTCGTCGCTCTCGCGGCCGCCGGCGCCCAGCGGGGGAGGCGCCCCTGCGGGGGCGGCGCGCCTGGGCCCGGAGGGGCATCTTTTTTGGGGGGAGCGGCGAGCTCTGCCTCCAATGGGGGCGGGTCTCGGCCCAAGAGGGGGGGAGGAGGAGGAGGAGGAGGGGGAGGGGGAGGAGGAGCGGGAGGAGGAGGAGGAGGAGGAGGAGGAGGAGGAGGAGGAGGAGGGGGAGGAGGGGGAGGAGGAGGAGGAGGAGGAGGAGGAGGGGGAGGAGGAGGTGCAGGAGGAGGAGGAGGAGCGAGGACTGAGGCAGGATGGGGACGGAACGAGGGATGACTGAAGGGAGACAGAGTTCTAGGATTGCGCTGCCGCGCATGTCCGCCACCACGCCTGCGAGAGCGGCCTAGCGAGGCCGCAGCGCGGCCGGCCGTTCACTGAATTGCGCGACGCACCGACTGCACCACGCTGATTGAATCACTTACATTGCGCCATACATACTGCACCACATAGACTGCAGCACGCGACTTGCAAACCCGTCGGGCGCCTTCGGAGACCGTATCCGGCGCCTCGACGGGCCGTCTTCGGCCACTCTGGGCGCCGTGTCTTCGCGCTGCAGCTGCCACGGTCCGTTTTGGGGGTTTTCTGGTGACCCTTTCGGAGCGCGTGGCCGCGGGTCACTGCGGTTTCATGAGCTCTTCCCGCACCACTGAAGGTGGATTGGGAAGGGGCGTCAAAGTGGAGGGCGGCCCGTCTCGGGGAAGGTGCACAGAGGGTGGAGGCGGAACGAGAGATGACTGGAAGGATGGATTTCCAGAATGTCCCACTCCTGGAGGCCAGCTCTTCGTCCGGAGTAGTTTTATGCCGGGCCTGTCCCTCTACATGGGGGATATTCAAAAATAGTCAAAAAGTAGTCAGGGGATGATGTTTTGAGTATTTCTGGGCATCTTTTGGATCTTTTTCGAGTCTTTTTTTATTTTTTATTTTTCGTCCAAAAACCCTCTGTATGGGGGACAGGCCCGCCCTAAGAGTAGGTTATGCCTGCCCCCTGGTTGGGGGCGGCCTCCAGAGGCCGAGAACGGCAAAACACCCACTGTCGCGTTCGTCTTTCGGCGCTCACCGCGGCCCGGGGAGGAAGACAGATGGGGGAGCGACAAGCTAGGTGTGCTCGCGTCATGTCTGACGTCCTCGGGCGAAGAGAACTTTGCACATGCATCGATTCTGGCCAGGCCCATCTTGGGCGCATGATCGGTGCATATGCCTTCCCGGCCAAGGCAGGAGGGCATATGCACCGATCCTGGGCTCAGGATGGGCCTGACCAGAATCGGTGTATGTGCATAGTTCTCTTTCCTCTACGTCCTACCCCTCCCTCCCGTCCCGTGCCAACAAGCAGCATCCCTCTCTGTTCGAAGTCGGATGTCGAAGAGGGCAACGCGTGGCGTATCGTGGCGTAGGCGAGCACGGCTGAGCGTAGCATGGCATAGCATGGTGTGGCATTGCGCAGTCAAGCATTGCATTGCATAGCATAGCATAGCATTGCAGCGTAAGGCATGACATCGCATAGCGGTGCATAACATAGTATTACATGGCATGCAGTAGCATTGCACGGGACATAACATATTGGTATGGCATTGTGTAGCCCAGCGTTGCATATCACAACATCGCAGAGCAAGGTATGCAATCGCATAACAGCTGTACATCACATAGCACTGACTTGCATACCATTGCAGCACGAAGGGTACATTGGAGGACCGATAACTTGGAGATGAGACCAGTGCTGCAGCGGGAGCCACGATGCCAGCGGAAAGAAAAGCCATCGCTGCAGTGGGAGACTGATTTAGCGGGAGACTGAAGCGGAAAGAGCCACGATGCAGCGGGAGATTGAAGCGCGGAAAGGAAGCCCGCGCTGCAGCGGAAACACCATTCGGAAGGACTGAAGACGCGGATATGATACCATCGCTACAGCGGGAGCACGATTTCGAAGGACCAGAGGCACGGAAATGAGGCCAGCGCTGCATCTGGAGCACCATTCTGAACGACCGAGACGAATCGGATGGAAACCACTTTTTCGTGGGCGGCGAGGCAGAGGCGGTTCGCTCCGGCGTGTGGCAATTCGAGGCTACCGAACGGTTAATTAGTCGGCATGCAAGAGAGGGAAAAGGACAAGGGCAGCCGCGCAGAGGACAAGGGGGAGAAGGAACACTCCGATGTGGAAGACTTCCGCGTCGGGCGGGCCAGGCGGCCGGTCGTGGCAGCGGTGGCCAGGGCAGCAGCCGGGCCGGGGCGAGGGCGCACCCACGGGCGCTGCCGGCGCTCGGTGACGATGTCGAGCAAGTGGTGGAAGCAGTACAGGAGCTCAGGGACTACTCCAGATTTCGTAATAAAAGGGAGGGGGTCTGGACCCTCCAAGACAAGCCATTTCAGACCTCCCCCGTGGGAGAACCCTCCAAAACATCGTCCCCAGACCCCCCCAGGCCCTCCAAGATAGCCTGGAAGAGACCCCCCCCGAAATGAGACCCCCTCCCTTTTATTATGAAATCTGGGGTACCAACAGCAAAATGTTGTGTCCAGCAGGTGCGGTGGCCGTGTGGAGTGGCGCCCCAGCGCAGCGCGTCCGCTGCGGGGCGGCACCCCGAGGGTGGAGCGGGGCGGCACGCCCGGAGCGGCGGGGAGGCAGCGCCCATGGCGGCGCGCAGGGAGGGAGGGAGGCGGGCAAGGGCGGGGCAGGGGGAGGGCAGGAAAGGAGCGCCCCGCGCGGCAGCAGCCCGAAGGGGAGGAGGAGGAGGAGGAGGGCGAGGAGGAGGAGGAGGAGGAGGAGGGAGGAGGAGGAGGAGGAGGAGGAGGAGGAGGAGGAGGCGAGGAGGAGGAGGAGGAGGAGGAGGAGGGGAGGGCGGGAGGAGGAGGAGGAGGAGGAATAGGAGGAGGAGGAGAGGAGGAGGAGGAGGAGGAGGAGGAGGAGAGGAGGAGGAGGAGGAGGAGGAGGAGGAGGGGAACTCTGGACACCACGAAGTGTGGAAACAATGTTTGGTCCGCGGGTCGAGAGCGAGCCTCTTCCAGTCGAAGCTCAGCGGGCCGCGCACAGCTTGAATTGACAGAGGGAGGAAAACAGAAGGAGGGGCCTCACGTCAAGGCCAAGAGAGGGCAAAGCCCCGGGATCAGGCGGTGCCGAAGGCGACCGTGTGTGAAAACAGTCTGCGGAGAGGTCGGGACATCTTCCGGACAGAGCCATGGGGAGAGTATTCATGATGTGTTATTGTGGAGGGGGCGCGACGCGGCCGAGGAGGAGGAGGAGGAGACAGGAGAGAAAAGGGGGGCAGAGAGAAAGAGAGAGAGAGAGAGAGAGAGAAAGAGGAATACTGCAGGCCAGGTGCGCGCGCACACACCAATCCTGACGTCCCACCCCTCCCTCCCATCCCTTCTTCGTTGCGCCGAACCCTTCTCTGCTTTTTCCCATAGGAGCACCGAATTCTTTGTTCCTGGGGACGAGCAGGGGCCACCGCCACCGAGAGCCCATCGGGGGGGGAGAGGCGGACCCTTGGGCGGTGTGCCCCACTTATCCTCGGATCTCCCTCCCCTTGAGGATCGCGCGCCCCTGCAGAAGGCAGACGAGTCCGACGAGTCCGAAACTCCCCAGGGGAGCCCATCGAAGAGGGCCTTCTTCTCACCCCGCCTGTGCCTGAACGCACCCAGGCCGGGATCTGGCGACAGGGGGCTCCCCTCAGGACACGGACTCCTTGTCTGCTCGCCCCTCCCGCTCCGAGGTTGCGCAGCCTCGACCGCCCCTCTGGCCCCGAGGCTCTCGGTTGCGGTGGTCCCCGTTCCTCTGCTGACCTCACTCTGCTTGCAGATGCCGTTCATGTCGCTCGAATTCCAGTTCGCCCGCTTCATTTTGTCCGACTCTCGTGAGGTCCGCTGCGGCTCGTTCGGACGCAACGAACGAGGACGACACGAGCAAGGGGGGCGAAACGAGCGAGGACGAGCCGAACGAGGGCGAGACGGAAGCGGACGAGGTGACTTACCAGCCCGGAACATATCCCTATCCCTATGCTGGGCACCTCCTCCTCACGATGCCAATCTCAGGGACTCCCTTATGTTTTGAGGGCGAGTCCCTAAGCTTGTCACCGCCTTTTCGCGTGTCAATCTTAGGGATCGGGATACGTTCGAGGCTGGTAATGCTCGCCCCCCTCCCCGCCCCCCTCCTCCTCCTCCTTCTCCTCCTCCTCCTCCTCCTCCTCTTCCTCCTCCTCCTCCTCCTCCTCCTCCTAAGATTGTCATCGCCTTTTCGCGGGTCAATCTTAGGGATAGGGATACGTTCGAGGCTGGCAGTGCTCGCCCCCCTCCCGGGCCCCCAGGTTCCGCAGCCTCGACCGCCCCGACTACGACCTCTGCGGCCGCTGCCACGGGGAGCTGCAGGCCAGCGGGCGCGAGGCGGGGCGGCCCTTCCAGGAGCCGGGCGTGCGGCGCGCGCGCGGGGCGCCGCCCGCGGGGCGGCGCCGCGTGGGATCGAGGAGGAGGAGGAGGAGGAGGAGGAGGGAGGAGGAGGAGGAGGAGGAGGAGGAGGAGAGGAGGAGGGAGGAGGACGACGACCTCGTCGTCGTCGTCGGCGGCGGCGTCGTGGAGATTCAGAGATTCCGGGGGGGGTGTTCAGAGGCTCTGGTTGCCGCGAGGAGGAGGAGGAGGAGGAGGAGGAGGAGGAGGAAGAGGAGGAGGAGGAGGAGAAGGATGAATAATGGTGGATGACTAGCTCTGTATTGTCGCCTTCATCTGCGCGGCGGCGGCGGCATGCGAGAGCTTGGCGCCGAGTCGCGCGCGCCGCCAGGAGATCGCCCCGCCGGGGCACTGTCCGCCCGGCCGCGAGGACGGCGAGACGGGGGAGCAAACACCTCAGGGGCTCCGTTGGGGGGGATAGGCTCAGCGGGGGGATAGCGGGAGCAAACAGCTCAGGGGCAACGTCAGGGGAGGATCGGCTCAGGGTGGAATTGGCGCCAGGAGCCAGCACCTCAGGAGCAATGCCAGGGGGGGATAGGCTCTGGGGTGGTGCGCATCGACCCCAAACCATCGCCGGTAGGGGTCCGATGGCCCACCCCGCTCAGGAACGATTCGCTATCGGGGGCCTATCGCCGATCTATCGGCGGTGTATTGCCGATTTCAGCTCGTTGTTTCCCTCCCCTTGAGCCGTCCCCCCCCCCCCCCCCCTGACGTTGCCCCTCAGAACCATCCGCCTTGCCTTGCCCTTCCCGTTCAGCTTTGAATTGTCGTCAACAATGATGTTTGCTAGTGGCCTCACTGCCTTCGGGCTTCTCGCTCGTGCGGGGAGAGCTCGTACCCTCTGGATGGAGCTAATTTTCGTCCTGGGCATGTGGCTTTGGCTCTTGGCCATCGTGCTTTCCATCCTCCCCAGACCTCCGATGCCGTGATTCTTCCAGCGCGGCGCCCCTGGACCTACCCAACCTTACCGAGGACCGGCCCATCGCCCCGGACAGCCTTCTGCCGGCCCCGTGGTCCGATCTCGAGGATCGAGGAGGAGGAGAAGGAGGAGGAGGAGGAGGAGGAGGAGGAGGAGGAGGAGTAGGAGGAGGAGGACGAGGAGGAGGAGGAGGAGGAGGAGGAGGAGGAGGAGGAGGGAGGGAGGGAGGGAGGGAGGGAGGGAGGAGGGAGGAGGGACCTCCTTCCCAAGACGCCCGAGGTCCGGCCCCTCGCCCCCATCGGGTGTTGCCAGAAGTGCCCCTGGCCCAAGGCGCCCACAGGACTCCCAGGGAGGCCCCCGCGAGGCCTCCAGAATACCCCGATCACGAGGCCCAGAGGGCCCCACCCACCAAACCACCCCAACCCAACCCGAAGGCCTCAATTTGCCCTCCATTTCCAGTGGGGGGGGGTCGGGGAAAACACTGAGAAAACACATGGAACCCGTACTTCCCCCAACCCGAAATTCGGGCGAACTTCGGGTCTTCGGGTTGGGTTGGGGTGGTTTGGTAGCTAGTCAAGCGGCCCGAGTTTCGTGACATCTTCGTTGCGCGCTGACGCGCCGAGGAGTTATTCAAGACCGTTGTTTTTCCTGTGCTTGCGCCGCGGGGGAAACAACCAAAAACAATACAAAACAAAAATCGAGGCCCAGAGGGCCCCAGGGGCTCCAACATCGAGCGAGAAGCTGGGAGCACCCTGGGCCAGGGGCACCTCTGGCAGCCCCCGACGGGGCCAGCCCTGGGACAGGGCCCTTCAGTCACCACCCACCAAACCACCCCAACCCAACCCGAAGGCTCAGATTTGCCCTCCATTTCCAGTGGGGGGGGGGGTCGCGGAACATCGAAAAAACACGTATGGAACCCTTACCCCCCCAACCCGAAATTCGGGTCTTCGGGTTGGGTTGGGGTGGTCTGGTAGGTAGTCATTCAGGCAGTCCGAGGACCCGGACAGATCCTTCCAGGGACTTCCGCAACGCTCTCCGAACGCCCCAGAGCGCTCTGGAACGGCCGCGGCACCCGACGCGTCGCCCACAACGGCGGGGCGTCCGAGGCCCCCGACATGTCCTGGTCCGATGCCTTGCAGGAGGGGAAAAAGCACACAGACACAATGAATCGTCGACTCCCGGGAACATGTGGGGAACTATAAGCAGTGGGGGGGAGACAGAAGCCCAGAAAATGTGGGAAACGATGGGGCATCTTTTAATTCTTTACGCTTCGCGTATCCCCACCAGCCCATCTCACAACAGCAACTCATGCGAAGCATGCCGACAGTCGTGTTTTTCAGGCGTGTGTCCGTTGGGCCCCGCATATCTCCCCTGTTCCTCTTTCCTCCCGCCTCCTTGTACATCCTCCTTGTGGGGGGAGCGGGAGAAGGACGAGGCGGAGGAGGAGGGAGAGAAAACGCTCCCCGTGGTTTGAGTCGTTTGGGGTTTCTCGTCCTGGTGTGAGTCGTTCGGGCCCTTCTTCCTGGTGTGAGTCGTTCGGGCTCTTCGTGGTGTGAGTCGTTCGGGCTCTTCGTCCTGGTGTGAGTCGTTCGGGCTTCTCGTGGTGTGAGTTGTTCGGGCCCCTCATCCTGGTGTGAGTCGTTCGGGCCCCTCCTCCTGGTGTGACTCGTTCGGGCTCCTCGTGGTGTGAGTCGTTCGGGGCCCGCGTCGTGGTGTGAGTCGTTCGGGCTCCTCGTGTTGTGAGTCGTTCGGGCGCCTCGTCCTGGTGTGAGTCGTTCGGGCCCCTCCTTGTGGTGTGAGTCGTTCGGGCTCTTCGTGGTGTGAGTCGTTCGGGCCCCTCGTCCTGGTGTGAGTCGTTCGGGCTCCTCGTGGGGCCTCTTGGGGGCCTCTTGGAGCCTCTTGGGGCCTCTTGGGGGCCTCTTGGGGGCCTCTTGGGGGCCTCTTGGGGGCCTCCTGGGGCCTCTGGGGGCATCTTGGGGGCCTCTTGGGGGCCTCTTGGGGGCCTCTTGGGGCCTCTTGGGGGCCTCTTGTGGGCCTCTTGGAGGCCTCTTGGGAGGCTCCTGGGGGCCTCTTGGGGCCATCTTGGGGCCTCTTGCGACCTCCTCAGAAGCGCAAAGAAGCGCTGCCCCCTGAGAAGGACAAATTGAGCCCAAAACCTTTGTAAAATCAATGATTTTGCTATGAAGGAAGATGAGCGCGGCCCCCTCGGGAGGCCAAAATGGGGCCCAAACCGTCGTAAAAGCAAGGATTTTGGCTTCACAGAAGAGGGGGGGGATTTAAGTGCGCCCCCCCGTCGGGTGCAGAATCCTCGTGAGGGTCGTCGTTTTTTGGCCCTCCCAGGAGTCGAAAAAGAGCCCTCTGACCACCCGCCGGAGTCCCTCTCCAGGCCCAGGGGGAGGGGGTAGGGGGAGGGGTAAACCCCTCCCCGAAGGGGAAGAAGGGGGGTGGGGGGTTGAGGACAGAGGGGGCTCGCTAAACCACTCACGCCCTAAAGGGCTGGTGGGATTTGTGTGTATTTGCAGTCGGGGCCCTGAAGAAGGAGCCCTTTTCGTTGGGGAGGGGCTCGGTGTTCCTGAGTTTTTTACAGTTCGCCTTTGGTTTTGCTTGGGGTTTCGATAGGTGGGGTTTCGATAGGACATCGAAGTTGAACTTGTGGGAAACAGGGGCCTCGTTCCTTCTTTAGGGTTCCTTAGGTCAACGCCCCGGCGGTATTTCTTGGTGTGTCCCAGGGCCCCATTCAGCCTTCCTGGCCCTGGCTTCGTCTCTTGGTCGGAGGGGCCGGCCCCGGCCCCGGCTCCGTCCGCCGTCCAGGCGAGAGTGCCGTCCGCCGCCTCGGCGCCGCGCGCAGCTCTCGCACGCAGGGTGGCGCTCCCGCCTCGACGCGGCGCACGCCTGCCGCTCGCCAGCGTTTGGGGGGGGGCCCGTGCGAGGCGGGCGACGCGTGGCCCCTGGCCCCGAAGCTCCGTGCGCACCTGGCCCCGGCTCGGAGGGGTCGGCGGGAGGGGCCCTTCGGAGGGGCCCGCCCCTCGGCACGGGATCGAGGGCGGCTCCGCGGGCGGCCGCTGCCTCGCTCGCCCCCCGCGCCCTGCCCTGCTCGTCTCCCCCGCTGCCCTCTCGCTCCCGCCCTCGCTCCTCGTGCCTCGTGCCCCTCTCTTGTCCCTGCCTCCCTCACTCCTCCCTGTCCCCCTCTTCCCCCTCCCTGCCCCCCTTCCCCTCCCCTCCCTCCCTTCCCCTTGGCGGCTGCTGCTTCTCTCGCCCCCCGCCCTGCTCTTCTCCCCCCCTGCCCTCGCTCCCGCCCTCGCTCCTCGTGCCTTGTTCCTCTCTGGTCCCTCCCTCCCTCCCTCCTCCCTGCCAGGAGACCTGACGGGAATCCGACGACCTGTTTCCCTGGGAGAAAGGGCGTATGAGGAGGGCGGATCGCAAAGTACTCTGCCTTCTTCGCCCGGTAGGCTTCCACCATGAGTTGCGTCTCGCCGTAACTGAGCCTGATTATCATGCTATTCCACGTCTGCCGTCCCCCTTCCCCTCCCTCCATAAATCTATCAATCTGGCTACTGCTCTCCTCTCTCTCTTTCCCCAGACTCCGTCTGGAAGAGACTCGGCCTTCTCCGCGCGCTGTTTTTCGTACACAGGACTCCAACACGTTAGCCAACGTGGACCCCAAACCGTGTTTTTAGCAATCCATGTTGCACAACTGATGTGGAGCAATCTAGGTTGTATAGTCTATGTGGTGACGTCTATGTCGTGCAACCCATGTTGTGCAGTCTATGAGGAGCAATTCACTTTGACTATCTTGACGCTATCATCTCCACTGCTCGTGCAAACATCCCACCCTCCCACCCGCAGCTTGGTCGCAAGACCTCTTGAGACCGTGGCGGTAGGTGCCAAATTGTACTTGGCAGCGACACCGACGCCGACGACGACAGCGACAACGACGACGACGACTCCGAAGACGACTACGACGACACCGACGGCGACTCCGACGACTTCGACGACGACGACGACGACAACGACGCCGACGACGACGACGCCGATGCCGACGACGACGATGACAACGCCGACGACGCCGACGACGACGGCGCCGACGACGACGGCGAAGACGACGACAACGACGACGACCTCGCCAACAGAGACGACGACGACGACGAGGGAGGTGGGAGGAAGACGACGGCGACAACGACGACAACGACGAGGGAGGAGGGAGGACGGCGACGACGCGAACGACGAAGAAGGAGGAAGGACGGCGACGCCGACGACGACAACGACGAGGGAGGAGGGACGACGACGACGACGACGACGACGGCGACGAAATAGGAGGGACGACGACGAGACGCCAACGACGGACGACGACGACGAGGGAGGAGGACGGTCGACCACGGCGACAACGACGACGGAACCGACGACGACCCCAAAGAGGACGACGGCGACGGCAACGAGGAAAGACAGAGGACGATGACGGCGACGACGACGACGACGAGGGAGCAGGGGGGACGGCGACGACGACGACGACGACGACGGCGCAAGAGCGCGTGCGCACGCTTTTGTTGAAAATCCGTGCTGCGAGCCCCTGTGCTTTGGTATGTTTTGTGGACACTCGATTTTGAAATCCGTCCGAAACCAAAGGTTTTCCCAAGGATTTCGGCTTGCGCGCGCGACAACGCACGCGCGTGCACTCCGTCCCGGTTTTTGCAGAGGGTTCTCGCGACGGCACGCGCGCAAGGGCGTTCGAACGATTTCGACATGCGCGCGCACGAAGCCTGTCTGGTAGTATGTTCTGAAAATATTCGCAAGAGTGCGCGCGTAAGCTTTTTTAAAACAATCAATGTGGCGGATCCCTGTGTTTTTGAATTTGTCTTGGAAACTCGATTCTGAAATCTTTCCGGAACCGAAGGTTGTCGAAGGAATTCGGCATGCGCGCGCGACGACGCGCGCGTGCGCTCTTGGTCATATGGCTTGCAAGGGATACTTTTTGATAAACGAGTGCGCGCGCATAGTATGTTTTGCCATGGAGCCGAGGGGGGGGGGTCGATACCGGTTTGGCTGGGATAGTATGAATTCACAATTCGGATGGACGATGGAGCAGACACAGTTGTAAATTGCAATACGAAAAAGAGGGCCTTTAGATCTGGGGGGAGGGGGGTCGAACCTTTTTTATAACATAAAAAATGGGAACCTGTATATCTATATACAAGGTCGTGCATGTATGTATGTATGTATGTATGTATGTATGTATGTATGTATGTGAATATATATATATATATATCAGAGTGAAGGGGCCCGAGCGGTCATTCAATATCCCTGGGTGCGTGTCTCAAGTTGGAATCCGTGGTGAGGGTTCTGCTTGTTGCGTTGTTGTTGTTCTTGTCATTTGCGACCCACCCGCGACCCACCCGCGACCCACTTGCGACCCACCCGCGATCCACCCCGCGACCCACCCGCGACCCACCCGTGACCGATCCACATTGGTTTGAAGAAAAAATCGGCGCCTGCGGCGGGCTCGTTGTATAATGTGTGAAACTTTGGTGCCTGCGGCGGGCTTCTCCAGAGTCCCGCAGACTGCCGACGTCCCCACCGCCCCCTCAACATGCGGGGTGCTATGTTTATTTTTCTGTATCTATTTGTTTATTTATTTTATATAGATGGCGCATTGTGATGCCATCTACGTGGTGCAATCTATCTTGTGCCGTCTACGTGGTGCAATATAAGATGTGCAGTGGAGGTGGTGTATTCTACGTAGTGCAATCTATGTGGTGAAGTTAGTTTCGCAAGACCTAGATGTGTCAACTTTGCTGCTCGCGCAACCACCCCACCCACCCACCCGCTACTTGGTTTGCAAAACCCGTGCGGCGGCGATTGCGATGACTGTTTGGTGTTGGCTGGTGCGTCGCTGAGGCCGCGCTAGCGCCCGCAGGCTCGCGCGCAGAGCGGCCAGCTAGTCCAGCGCGACCGACGCGGCCGCGGTAGCGCTGACCGCTGGGAACTTCCCAGCGCGCCTCGCGGGCCGCGTTGGCGCGCGGGCACTTCAGTGCGAGTCGGTGACTCGGGCGGGCGCGGAATCATGGCGACGCCGACAGCGGCAGACACGATGATGATAGTAACGGTTTTGGTGACGGTGATGACGACGACGACGGCAGGGGCAATAACAGCGCTGATTCTGATCACGCCGATAACGATGATGTTGTGTTCGCGTCGGCGACGGCGGTTTCTGCAGGACAACGACATGCACGCGCGGGCGACGCGCGCGAGTGGCTCGCGTGCAATTCTTTGACAGGGATTGTGCCGCCCCCCTAGCACGCGCGCAAGGGTTTTCGAATGATTTCGACATGCGCGCGCGCGAGAGGCTCGTTGGGCAGCATGCGATGAACATCATGGACACTTTTTGGTTGTCTTACGAACTCGCAAGAAAGAGTGCGAGCGCCGATGTATGCTTGTAGCGAAACCGTGCTTTTTATGTTACAGGGGCGTTCGCTTTCGACATCCTGCTCACCCGTGGGTTTTGGAAGGATCTTGAGATGCGCGCGCGACGACGCGCGCGTGTTCGTTCCGTCCCGTTGTTCAAGGAGTTCTTGCGTCAGCACCCGCGCAAGGGCGTTCGAATGATGTCGACATGCGCGCGCGAGAGGGGCGTTTGGTCGATTTTGATGAACAGTTTGTGAAGCCTATGGTTATCTAAAGAGTTCACTAGAGCGCAAGCGCAGGTTTTTTTGAACACGCCTGTTGCGCAATCGTTGCTTTCCAGATATGTTTTCAGGACTGTCTTCGAACTCCTGACGCAACATGAGAATTCTGACGGATTCCGGGATGCGCGCGCGACGACACGCGCGTGTACATGTCGTCTTGCTTTTCTTTGTTGTCGTTTTCTGTTTGCTTTCGTTTTGAAGAGGGGTTTTTGGCAAATAGATTTTTGAAGTGGAAAAACGTGTTCGCATGGCTGTTTTGCAATGGGTGGCGGGGGGTGTCGATACCGGGTCGGTTGTGATCAGACGATTTCATTTTTGGAACGAACGATGGGGCATAACCATTGGTCAATTTCTCATCCCTTGTGGGGGGCGGATAAGTCCGGCTTCGGGATGATGGTGGGATCTGTTCGTTTTCAAATTCATTTTGTCGATGTTGAAAGTGAACTCCGCTGCTCGCGCAATCACCCCATCCACCCACACGCACGCAATTTGGTTTGCAGAACCTATGCGGCGGCGATTGCGATGACTGCTTGGTGCTGGCTGTTGAATCGGTGCGGCCGCGCAGGCTCGCGCGCAGAGCGGCCAGCTAGTCCGGCGCGACCGACGCGGCCGCGGTGGCGTTGACCGTTGGGAATTTTCCAGCGCGTATCGCGGGCTGGCAGGCCGCGTTGGCGCGCGGGCACTTCAGTTCGAGTTAGTGACTCGGGCGCGCGCGAAATCATGGCGACGCCGACAGCGGCAGACACGATGATGATAGTAACGATTTTGGTGACGAGTATGACGATGACGACGGCAAGGGCAATGACGGCACCGATGTTGATCACGCCGATGACGATGATGGTAGGCTTTGGAACAATTTCGACATGCGCGCGCGGCCGACGGGCGCGAATGGCCCGCATGGAATTCTGTGACAAGGCTCGTGCCTGCCCAGCACGCGCGCAGGGGCGTTCGGATAATTCCGACACGCGCGCGCGACAGGCACGTTCGGTATCATTTGATGAACACGCCTGTGAACAGAGAGGCCGTTTGAGCGCGCGCAAACTGTTTGACACATCGTTGTGCAAAGCAGCTGTTGTTTCCTTATAGTGGCTTCGGGAACTTCGGTTTTGACATTTTGATGAAGCTTACGGTTGCTTACGGATTATGGCACGCGTGCGCTCAACCCTGCGCGTTTGGATTTTGTCGAGCAACGGACTTTCGCAACTGCGTGATTTGTGATGCACGAGTGTGTGCGCACAGTGTTGTTTACACTGGATATGGGGGGGGGGGTCGAACCCGGCTGGGCTGGGATGGAATGGTTACATATGGAAAATGTGCGATAGGGGCAGAACCGTATAAAGTTTGCACATCCCCACGGGATACGGCTAACCTTGGGGATTGGTGGGGGGTGCTCCCAATTCTGCTCCAGGAAGGAAGTTTTTTTTGGGTGCAATCCATGGTGTACGATCGAGCAAAACAAAGCAATGCATGCCAAGAGACAATTTTGTTTGGTCCGTCCGCAGACACTGTCGCGCGCGTGCAAGGAAGCTAGTATGTGTGCTACAACACCACTTGGCTCATAGCGACCCCGAGGGCCAACAACTGTCAGAGGGAAGATGCCGTTGCAACTCCACTGCGCAAGCAAAAGCACATCATAAAGAAGGAGAGGAGGCAAGAGACACTGCAGAACAATGCCAATCAATTCACAGCAATGCAAAGCAACGCAGACCAACGCAAATCAACGCCAGGCGGTTTGTGTGGTACGGTCCCGCGGCGGCCACGAGCGGCGACGGCGCCGACGGGGTGGCGGCGGCGGCGGCATGGCCGCCAAGCCAGCCGCCAGGCCCAGGCGACGGGCTGCGACGAGACGGCGACGGTTCCTTCCTTTCTCCTCCCTGTCCTGTCCCATCCCTCGTTCCTCGTTCCTCCCTCTCCCTCCCTCCCTCGCCCCCCCTCCCCCCCGTCCCTCCTCCGTCACTCCTGCCTGCCCCCCCCCTGCGGGGGAGCCCGCACAGCGACCGTACCCAACGTCGGCTGGCACTGCACCGCCCCCTCGTGCGGCGCACCGTGATTTCGCCAGTCAGGTTAACTTCGTCAGCATAGGAAATGCGAAGGGACAAACAAACTTACACGCAAGAGCGTAAGCGGAGCCATCGTCCCAATTCGCTTGGGGGTCGGCCTTCCCTTCGCATCTTGATTTGGAAGCAGACCTCACGAGAAGACCAGACCAATAGGGAGAGGAGGAGGAGGAGGAGGAGGAGGAGGAGGAGGAGGAGGAAGAGGAGGAGGAGGAGGAGGAGAAGGGGGAGGAGGAGGAGGAGGAGGACGAGGAGGGCGAGGAGCAGAAGGAGGGGGAGCGGGAGGAAGGGAAGAGAACGATGCGAAGCAAGATGTGGAGGAAGAGGAGGACCAGGAGGAGGAGGAGGAGCGGGCTGCGGCGGACAAACCGCTATGCCCGCAGTGTCGCAGGAGGAGGAGGAGTAGGAAGAGGAGAAGGAGGAGGAGGAGGAGGAGGAGGAGGAGGAGGAGGAGGAGGAGGGAGAGGAAAACCAGGAGCAGATTGCTCAGGGGGAATAGGAATATTGCCGAGGTCGTTAGGAACCAGCTTGAGCCTACGGAGAAGGCTGGAGGCGGGCTGAATGGAATACGTGCTGCCCGCCGAGGTGAGACGCTCGTCGTGGAAGGCGATGGACTGGCCGCGTTTGCAGCCGCGGAGGTCGGAGTTACCCGGCGCACTCTGTCTCCCAGTCTTTCTTTCGAGCTTCTCCGCCGGATGTTTGCCCGCGTGTTTGATCGCATCACAGGTTGGGGCCAGGCCACTGACACTAGATATTCGAAGGGCTGTATTTTTGAATCGGATGTGGGTAGGGGGAGGGAAGGTAATGGGGAGGGAGGGATGGCGGAAGCAGGAGGGTGCGAGGAGCGGGGATGGGGAGGGAATGACGGGGAGGGGAACGATGAGGGATAGGAGGACAGGGAGAGGGAGCGTGGGGGGAACGAGAGGAGGTGAGGGGGTGTACCATAGTTGTGGCAATTTGGGGTATTCACTTTCATATTGTAGTATCATCATTGCGCGACCGGGATAGCCCATTTGAGGGGCATCGGATTCCTCCTTCTCCCCCGTTTGGTTGTTTTGAACAATGACCTGGGCGAACGACCCAAACATACGCAGTGGTGAATATTGCGGACGTGGGTATCGCATTCCGTGCATCTCTTTCTGGGGTCACGAAGCGTCTCAAGGGTGTGCCGAAATGGGCGGGGGGAGCGCATGCGAACGTCGCCACTGGGGCCTTCGGTGGAGCTCCCTATGGGACCACAAGGCGAGAATAAGGCCGATCGCAACCACTGAGGACCGTTCAGGAACCATTTCGGGCCGATTACAATCATTGGAAACGGATTGATCGCAACGTGTCGGATTCTTGTTGTAATCCTACCTGGCGAACGCCGGATTGCAACCAGGAAAGCTTGCTTGAGCGTCCCTGGGCTTGAAGGATTTCTGCGGATTCCGGGAGGTTTCTTGATGATTCCGGAGGAATTTCTGCGGATTCCCCAAGGAGTCTTGAGAGTTCGTAAGGGATTCTTGCGGATTTCTGAAGGATTCTTGAGGATTCCGGAGGGATCCTTGGAAGATTTTTGACGGATTCTTGACGGATTCTTGAAGGATTCCAGCAGGATTCCAGGAGGATTCCAGAAGGATTCCTTCAGGATTTTTGAAGGAACCCTGAAGGATCCCTGAAGCATTCCAGCAGGATCCCTGAAGGATCCCTGAAGGATTCCTGAAGGATTCTTGAATGATTCCTGAAGGATTCTTGAAGGACCCTTCACATCATTCCTGAAAGGTTCTTAGAAGTGCCTGAAGGATTTCTGGAAGGTTCTTGAATCCTTCCTCGTGTTTCACCGTCGGCTTTCCTCGTAGATCTGGGCACAGCTGGGACTAGAATGAGGCTTCGTTCCTTGTGTCAATGTTCCGCATGGCGAAGCGTCGACTGTATGATGCGAATTGGCATGGCCACTTCTTGGCTCTCCTGGCCCTCGCTCCTTGTCCTAGCTGCTGCATGGAGGGTACAGCACGTGCCTTGTGGTGCGACGCGTTGCACGTTCTTGTAGGCATGTCCTTCTGCTTGCATCTACGAACCAGCGCGCGGGAGGCCAGGGGATGAGCTTTCGCGTCTCTTTTTCTCACGCTGTGGCTTCTGGCTCTCAAACCGCGCTCTTATACGGCAGTGTTCCTTGCCAGCCCGTTCAATGTGTGTGTGTGTGTGTGTCCCTTGGCTCTCCTTGCCCTGGCCTTCCTGGTGAGTTCTGGCCTTGTCCGCGCGTGCCCTGGATGGGGTGCGGCGCGTACGGTAATGAACGTAACGCGTTACGTGTGCATGCGAAGCTCCCCCTTGTGCTTGCGCTAACAGCAGCAGCAGCAGCATATAGACGGCAGGAGATGGTTGCAATGAGGTTGACGGTAGTGCAAATGCTGATTGTTAGGTCGTAGTTCGGAGGAGGTGGAGGATGTGGAGGAGGAGGAGGTGGAGGAGGAGCATCCCCAACTAGGCTTCCAGGTCTACGAGCGGGTGGACCGTCGTCAAACACAGTCCTTCGGGTTTACGGCTCTATCTATGTGGAAACACCTTTTGCTGAGAAAGCCCCAATTCGCAGCCCAGATATGGGGTATGATAGCGAGGGCAGGCCTTGTCTACCAGCCCCATCCATTCTCTCAAACTCCGGAGTGGCGCCCTGTGTCGCAGCCGCTTCAGGGGTGAGGAGAAGTGGGCAAGTGTCCTCAGCCTCGCCGCCTGGGGCCATCCTGAAGCGCGGATCATTGGAGGCTCACGATGGTCGTTGGATGTCAGGAGCGGAGACCGCGCAAGTGCCTGCACTGACAAAGTGACGTTACGAGCCAGACGCGAGAAGGGGGCGGATGGGGGGTGAACCAGTCAAGCCGAAACAACGGGCCACAGGGTGGTAATTCGGTGCGCTTGGCTCGCCTGGCATAAGGGTTCCGCACATGAGGATGACGCAGCGCCTGCCAGGACCAGGGGGGCATTTGATCAGAGAAGTGCCTGGACGCCGAAAGCAGGTATCAAGCGGTACATCCTGCTGCGAAGTCAAGACGGCCATCCGTGACGCGAAATTTGGATGTCACGCAGACGTTGCGTAACGTCATCGCTGCATCAACGCCTTGTCAACGACGGTTTGTTGGGCAATTATATTTGGCACTCTGTCCAGGCCTTGGTCTGTCTGGACCGTTACTGTCAACGCTTTTAGAAACTTGTGGTGCTTGCTTCCTGCTGGGCCGTGCATCTACAGAGACACCACAGCTACTTGCGAGCACCCCGGGCCCCTGCTATGCAACACTGCGACCTCGGCCTGTAACCCTGCGCCGACTCCGTGACATTCGGACCGGCCCTTCTCCTCCTCCTCCTTCTCCTCCTCCTCCTGTCTTGGGCAGAGTGGTGGTCCTCCGCCTGCCAGCACAGCCGCCTCCACGGTTGTGCGAGTTCAGCCTCGTGCGAGTTCGGCCCCACGCGAGTTGGGTTATCGTGCGATCGCGGCCAATGCCGCGCCTCAGATTCCCCCTCGGCCCCTTGCAGAAGGAGAGGGGAGGAAGAGCAGGAGGGGAGGAGGAGGAGGAAGAGCAGGAGGGGAGAAGGAGGAGGAGGAGGAGGATGATGCTGATGATGATGATGATGATGGTGGTGATGATGATCATGATGATGATGATGATGATGATGATGATGATGATGATGATGATGATGATGATGATGATGATGATGATGATGATGATGGTCGTGATGATGACGACGATGATGATGCTGATGATGATGAGGATGAAGAGGATGATGATGAGGATGATGATGATGATGATGATGATGAGGAGGAGGAGGAGGATGAGGAGGAGGAGTACGAGGAGGAGGAGGAAGGTGAGGAGGAGGAGGAGGAGGAGGAGAGGAGGAGGGAGGAGGAGGAGGAGGAGGAGGAGGAGGAGGAGGAGGAGGAGGAAGGGGCAGGAAGGCCTGGGCAGGAAGGCGCGCATGCCCTCGAGCTCCTGGCGGCGAGCCAGCGGCGCGACGCCATGGTGCCAGCTCGGAGGGCACCCACGCCGGTCCTGGCCGGGCCGACCCCGGGCCCAGGTCGGCGCGTGTGCCTTCCTGCCCAGGCCAGGAGGATACACCGACCCTGACAGAGTCGTCCTCGGCGGCGTGATCCGAGCCCTGCCTCCGCCTCCTCCTCCTCCTCCTCCTACCCGTGCCCCTCCCCCTCCTCTTCCTCCTCCTCCTCCCCTTCCTCCTCCCCTTCCTCCCAGCGAGGCAGGAGAACCGACTGTTGTTCGGGGGTAGGGTGTGGATGTCGCCACCTGTGTCTGTAGGCGCGCCGCCTCTGTGACGTTCGGACCGGCCCTCTGGGCGCCACGGTCGCCGCTGGCCGCCCGCCGGGGAGGTCTTCGGGAGACGGCCGGCCGCCTGCGCCAGCCCGCCGCGGCCGCACGACGACCGCCTCGATATTATGCACGAGCAGTGGTGCAGATGTGAGCGTAACGGCCGCGACGTCCAGGCGTGGACCTGGAGCGCATCTCAGGTCTTGCGAAGTGAGGGGGCGATGCCACCGAAGGGCGAAGAGCGGTGCACCTTCTGTGCCCCATAGGAGCCCCGAAGGGGCCCCCTGGGGCCCAAAAGGGGTCCGAAAGGGGCACGTGCCTCTCACCCCCCCCCCCCCGCATTGATCGCCTCCCCATTGAGCAACGCCCAAGTAGCGGTCCAGACGTCCAGATGTGGAGGGGTGGTGTCAGACCAGCGCCGGTTGATAGGCCCAGCCCGCCCCCCGCAAGAGACCGACCATGCCCCCGAACGTCCTGAACCGCTCGGCCAGAACTTCGGTGTTCACGACATGCAGTGTGTTTCTTCGGGGGGCAGGGAAGTTGTAATTACGGTGACCTGTCACGCGGACTCGCTCCACCCATTCGAAGCAAACCAGCCGCCCACGAAAAGCGGGGGATAGGAGCGGGAGGGATGGTTGGGCACGACACCCTTCGCAGCCGAGGTGGTGCATGATGTTGATGCTGCTGTTGTTGCTGTTGCTGATGATGGTGGTGGTGATGGTGGTGGTGTTGTTGGTGGTGGTTGTGATGATGATGACGACGGCGACGACAACGATGATGCTGATGATTCTTATGTTGATGCTGATGACGATGACGATGATGAGGATTAGGATGAGGATGAAGAGGAGGACGAGGACGATGTTGATGTTGATGTAGTTGATGGTGATGCGGATGATGATGATGCTGATCATGATGATGATACTGATGATGCTGCTGCTGCTGCTGATGATGATGATGATGATGATGATGATGATGATGTCGATGACGACGATAATGCTACTGATGATGATGAAGATTATTATGATGATGATGTCGATTGACAGGATTCTGATGATGTTTATATTGCTGCTGCTGCTGCTGATGATGCTGATGATGATGCTGCTGATGATGTTGTTGAGGATGGTTATGATGTTGATGATCATGGGCATGATAATGCCGAGGAGGATGAGGATGAGAAGGATGAGCCGAGGTCAAGGCGACTACGGAACCCGAACACGGCAAAGGCAAGCACAAGGGCATGTGCAAGGGCAAGGGCAAGGGCAAGCACAAGGGCAAACACCACGGCGCCGACGAGGGCGGGGGCTGCGCAGCTGCCGCGGACGTCGTTCCTGCTCCTGGCTCCTCTTTCTCCTCCTCCCTCCTCCTTCGCCTCCCCCATGCTTCCCCGTCCCTTCCCCCCTCAGTAGGCCAAGGACCGTGGGCCAGGGCGTTTCAGGAGGGTCCCAGCCACCAAGGTGCGTATTTTGGATGTGGTTGATGGGCTCAGGAGTTGGCCTTGGCACTTGCTGGCGTCTGAGCGCACACTTCTGACAGCGCCGCTCCTGGAACACCAAAGAACTCCCGCCTCCGTCTCCTCCGTTCTCCGTCCTTCCCCCTTCCCCTCCGTAGCGGTATTGGCTCAATATCTTTATGTTGGAGAGTGCGACGGCTTTGAATATGAGGAGGGCAGTGCGAATACAGTTCCATCTGTTCTGCTCTCACTTTGTGCAGCGCAGCTGCAGCGGCCTCGATTGCCCAAGCAGCGCTTGCACGTAGGGGTTCTGACTCCCAGGTGCTTGTGTATTCTTACAGCGTCCGCCCACTATCGTTGGGACCTCCTCGTGAGAGCTTGTCGCGGGACCCCGTCGCTAGAGTGCCACACCATAGAGGGCCCCCCCCGCCCTGATTTGGTCCCAGGCAGCACGGTCCCGCACGAAGTGGCCCCTTTCCGAATGGTAGGGTAGGATTCGGTCTGACGCGATAGGATCCCGCACGGCAGGGTGCCACGCGATCGGGCTCCACACTATACGGCCCGCGCTGAGAGGGTCTCACACGATACGGCCCGCAGGGTTCGCCCTCGGTTGCGACTCACAGGTTCCATTCCGTGCCATCGGTCTGCGCACCACAGGGTGCGACGCGCGCCTTGATTCGCCGTGAGCGATCGTTTGATCATCGACCTCGGTTGCTGTCCGTCCTCCGCCTCCTCTTGCGGGTTCTTGTCCTGTCCCTTCGCGTTCTCAGGTGTATGTTCCTACGCCTTCTGGCCCGCACCCGCGTGGGCTGGCACGGGCGACCGCCTTGCTGGTATGCTGCACACTGTTTAACGCTAAGCGTTCGTCAGCGCGGCGATCGAGAATCAAAAGCTAGACTCGCAGCGCCGCGCACGATGCCAGTTAGAGGATATCGATTGCTCGAAAGGGCAACCTACCAGCAGGAGAAGGGCGAGGGCGAGAAGGGGTTAGGAGGAACAGTTTGGGGGTCGGTTGGTGGTGGTGGGGGGGGGGAGGGGGAGGAGGAGGAGGAGGAGGAGGAGGAGGAGGAGGAGGAGGAGGAGGAGGAGGAGGAGGAGAACGATGATGAGGAGACGGAGAAAGAAGAGCAGGATGACGATGCCGCGAAATTCATGGCAATGGAACTCCAGAGGAATCTATAGCGATATCTGAATGTTGAAAATGAACAGCCCTCCATCCGTGAAGCTATTGCGCAGCTTCGAACTTCTTGTCCGTCATGCTGGGGAAATCTCAGGCGATATCAAAATTTGGAAAACGACCCGCTCTCCACCCCCGCAGCTGCTTGGCACTTTTATGTGCGTCGCCTTCAGGCGAGGACGCATGTTTTAAACTGGCCGCCCTCTATCCTTGTAGTTATTTGTCGCGTTTACGACGAATGTGCGCAGCGCTCAGGCGATGACCACTTCTTGAACAGGAAGACCCCACCGTCGTTCCAGCTATAAGAAGTGCCACGGGGTACAGCTCAAAATACGTTTATCTAGAGCCCGCATTTGAGAAATAGCCGCCTTCCATTCGCGAAGTAGTTTGCTGGACAAGTGCATATGTTTGGCCGTGGGCTTGACAGAAATATCAAGCGAGAGCCGTGTTAAAGAAACAGCCGCCGTTCATGCGTGTAATCTGTCGCAGTATTGAAGCTGTGGGCAATAACATTGTTAACACGTCTCCAGCGGGCACCCCGTTTGGAAAAGGAGCCGCCCTACATCCGTTGAGCGGTCGCGCATGCTTGAACATTACTTGTAACATGCAAGAAAACTCAAGCAGGAACCCTATATTGAGGTTCGACTCTATTTCCGGTAGCAGGTGGCAACGGTCAAGACGACCTGTGCGCGGCGACGGCGAATCTGCCCGGCGCTCAGACGAGAGCGACATGTTTCTCTAGGCTCGTTTGTCCGTCAGCTGTGCGATTGGGACAGCCCTGAGGTAGCAGATTTCTCGATCTGCCTTTCCTAGCTGTTGTTGGAATGGAAAACGGAAGCGGGCCGCCCTGCATCCTTGCAGATAATGGAAGCCTTTCAGATGAATGTACGCGCGCTCAGGCGAGAGTCCAATTTGAAAGCGGGCCGCCCTCCCCCATGGCCCATGTGGGGCCTGTTGCTTTCGGGCTTCGTGGTTGTCGCAGAGGAAACACCCCGCCCGCCCCACCAACACACCTGGTGGCGCACCAGTCATTGAAATCAGGCGCACATCGTGACGGTTTGGCCATATTTTGTTGGGGGGTGGGGGAGGCGGGGAGGGTGGGGGGTGGAAGAAAGGTGTGTGTGTGTGTGTGCATGTGTGTGCTATCTCTATATTTCCCGAATCAGAGCTTGCCTCTGTAGGGGTCCCGGCGGACTCATTTCCCAATCAGAGCTTGCCTCTGTAGGGGTCCGAGCGGATTCATATGGTTAGGCGAGGTTTGCCACCGATTTCCGCGGCCCGCCCGGGTGCCTGGGCGCCGGGGTGCCCGAGTGCCCAGGTGTTTGGGTGCTTGGGTGCCTTATAGCCCTATAGCCTTATAGCCCTATAGACCTATAGCCCCATGCCCTATAGCCCTATAGCCCTATAGCCCCATAGCCCTATAGCCCTATCGCCCTATAGCCCAGTAGCCCTGTAGCCCAATAGCCCTACAGCTACAGCCCTATAGCCCTATAGCCCATTAGCCCTATGGCCCCATAGCCCAATAGCCTCATAGCCCAACATCCCCATAGCCCTATAGTCCCATATCCCTATAGCCCCATATCCCTATAGCCCCATAGCCCTATAGCTCTATAGCCCCATTGCCCTATATCCCTATAGATGTATAGCCCTATAGCCCTATAACTCTAGATATGCCTATAACCCTATAGCCCTATAGTCCCATAGCCCTGTATCCCTATAGCGCCATATCCCTATATCCCTATAGACTCATAGCCCTATAGCCCTATAACTCTAGATATGCCTATAGCCCTATAGCCCTATAGTCCCATAGCCCTGTATCCCTATAGCGCCATATCCCTATATCCCTATAGACTCATAACCCTATAGCCCTATAGCCACATTGCCCCATAACCCCATAGCCCCATAGCCCCAGAGCCCTATAGCCCTATAGCCCTATAGCCCTATGGCCCTATAGCCCTGTAGCCCTATAGACCCTATAGTTCCATAGCCCTATAGCCCCATAGCCCCATCGCCCTGTAGCCCAATAGCCATATAGCCTTATAGCCCTAAAAAGACTTTGATTCGGTTTTTCTTCGGTATCATAGTGTTCGGTGAGATTTGCCACCGATTTCCGCGGCCCGTCCGGGTGCCCGGGTGCCTGGGTGCCCGGGTGCCCGGTTGCCCGGGTGCCCGGGTGCCCAGGTGCTGGGGTACTCGGGTGCCCAGGTGTCTTACAGCCCTATCGCCCTATAGCCTTATAGCCCAACAGCACCATAGACCGATAGCCCTATAGCCCTATAGCCCTATAGCCCTATAGCCCTATAGCCTTATAGCCTTATAGCCCTATCGCCCTATCGCCCTGATGCCCCATAGCTCTATAGCCCTATAGCCCTGTAGCTCTATAGCCTCGTAGCCTTATAGCCCTACAGCCCTACAGCCTTATAGCCCTATCGACCAGTAGACCTATAGCCCAATGGCTCTATAGCCCAAAAGCCCAATTGCCCAATAGCCCTATACCCCTATAGATCTATATCCCTATAGCCCTATAGCCCTATAGCCCTGTAGCCTTTATAGCCTTTATAGCCCTATAGCCCTACAGCCCTACAGCCCTAAAGCTCTCTCTCTATATATATATATATATATATACATATATTTATATATGCCTATAGCCCTATATCCCCATAGCCCTATATCCCTATAGCCGTGTAGCCCGATGGTCCTATAGCCCTATAGCCCCATAGCCCTATAGACTCATAGCCCTATAGCCCTATAGCCACATTGCCCCAGAGCCCCATAGCCCCATTGCCCTATAGCCCTACAGCCCTATCGCCCTAATGCCCTATAGCCCTATAGCTCTATAGCCCTACAGCCTTATAGCCCTATAGACCAATAGTCCTATGGCCATATAGCCCTATACTTCTATAGCCCTATAGTCCCATACCCCCATCGCCCTATAGCCCAATAGCCCCGTAGCCCTATAGTCATTAAAAAGGCGTTTGCTGTTTTTTTGTTATCCGGCGGCACTCTACATACATTATGTACGTACGTACGTATGTATGCATGTATGTATGCTCGTTTGTATGCATGCATGCATGCATGCATGTATGTATGTATGTATGCATGTATGAATGTATGTATGTGTGTGTATGTATTTATGCATGCATGCCTGCAAACATATATGTATGTATGTATGTATGTATGTATGTATGTATGCATGTATGTATGTATGTATGTATGTATGTATGTATGTGTGTCTGTATGTATGTATGTATGTATGTGTGTGTATGTATGTATGTATGTATGTATGTATGTATGTATGTATGTATGTATGTATGTATGTATGTACGCATGCATATATGTATGTATGTATGTATGCATGCATGCATGCATGTATGTATGTATGTATGTATGTATGTGTGTGTGTATGTATGTATGTATGTATGTATGTATGTATGTATGTGTGTATGTCTGTGTGTATGTCTGTGTATGTATGTATGTATGCATGCATGCATGTATGCATGCATGCATGAATGTATGTATGTATGTCTGTCTGTCTGTCTGTCTGTCTGTCTGTCTGTGTGTATGTATGTATGTATGTATGTATGTATGTATGTATGTATGTATGTATGTAATGTATGTGTGTATCGATGTACGTATGTATGTATGTAGGTATGTAT